CCGCCGATGGTAGGGAAGAAGGGTTTTCATGAAAGGGAGGTGGTTTAAGGGTGGGCGGGCGGTTGTTTTAGAGTGGGGACCGAGAGATGGGTGAGCTCATGGTGGGGAAGCTAGAGGGGGTAGGTTCAGTGGCGGGTGGTGGGTGGCCGAAGGTGGTGCAATGATGGTGTAGAGGTGGTTCTAGGGTTTAATTAGTTAATTAAGGTTTAAAGCAACTAATTACAATTTGGTCGGATAACGATATCGTTAATAAAAGCTTGGTAGGGGTAGTAATCACTAGAATTAATCAGTGTTAGGGGTAGCAATTAACAACATTTGTCGGGGTAATAATTTGCAAAACACATTTTTTAGGATAGTAATTGACAAATTTTCCAAATAAACTATACAATATGTTTTATATGCATTAGGCCTTGTTCTGTTCGTCTTATTTTCACTTATTCCAGGTATAATAAGTTCAGATAATTTCAAATAAGAGTTAAAAAGTTCAGATAAGTTCATATAATTTCAAATCAGAGTTAATAAGTTCAGATAAGGGTTAATCAAGACTAACCACAAGTTCAATTCATAACTAAAATAAGTTCCGATAAATTAAGATAAGATCAAATAAGTTCAATAAGATCAGATAAGTTAAAATCAGGTAAACGGAAGCCCTAAAACCTATTAGCTCAGTTGGTAGAGCATTGGCAAATGCACAAAATATGTGGGTTTAAATCCCACCTAAGAAAATTAATTTAGAAGATAGCAAAAATTTAGAACATAAGGAACCAAAAATGTTAGAACATAAGAAAAATAATTTAGAACATAAGTTGAAAAAATAATTTATACCATAAATAAAAATTTATAACTTAAGTTGAAAAAATAAGTAGAAATAAGTAGAAAAAATTTAGAATATAGGAAAAACTATAGAACATAAGCTGAAAAAAAAAATTTAGAACATAAAAAAAAAATTTAGAACATAAGCTGAAAAAAAAAATTAGAACATAGGAACAAATTTAGAACATAATCTAAAAAAACAATTTAGAACATTGGAAAAAATTTAGAATATACGAAAAACTTTAGAACATAAGCAGAAAAAAGTTTAAAACATAAGGTGTTCTTACATAAGAAAGAGTTCTTACATATATATATATATATATATATATATATATATATATATATATATATATATATATATAAACTTTTAGCCAGACGACGAGGCAGTGACACTTGGCGTTCCAACTTTTCGCCAAGGTCGTGCCACGTATAATAGAGTTATATAGAAATATTCAATTTGTAGGATATAACTAATATATAAAGCTAAACTTTTAGTCAGGCGACGAGGCAGCGACACTTGGCGTTCCAACTTTTCACCAAGTGTCGTGCCACGTATAATAGAGTTATATAGAATATTCAATTTGTAGGATAATTGAGTTAGTTTAGAATTTTATTTTCAATCAAATTTGGATAAATTTTAGGATAAAATTGTTAATTTAGAATTTTATTTTTTATAAAGTACCAATATTTCATATGTACAAATTGAATTATAATTTTATATTCAAAAAATAATTAGACTCTCATAAATCATCATATAAATTTATTTTTTGTATCATAATATTTTTTTTGGGGCGAAGGAATTAGTTCAAAATGTACCACATCCATTGTTTATAATATATTCTAATCAATTAAAATAGTATACTTCACAATCTAATATAATTTTGTTACTGTGTGTAGACCTGTCAATCAGTCAGGTCACGAGTCATTTCAAACAGGGTCATTATTTCAGGTTACGGGTCAAGAAATGTTTTTCACTAATATTATTATTATTAGTCATTACATGTCTACAAGTTTAAATCGTCTCAAAAACACATCAATTCCTAACTAATTTTGTATCAATGATATGTTTTAAAATTTGACATATAGATTAAAAATATATCTTGAAATTCAATAAACAACTCAGGCATCGTACGGGGTACAAAACAAGTATATGTATATATATATAGTTTTTGTTTGTAATACTTAGCACTGGTTTGATTTGTTTTTTAGTTTTATTTTTATATACTTTGGAGTTACTATGATTTATTTTTGAGTTATACATCTTAATTTATTTTTTGCTTTATTTTTGTAGAGATAACCCTATAGTATGTGATACATTCTATACATTGGATTTTTTAAACGACATTGCGGAATGAGATGTCATCAATCTCCAAGCATCAACTGGAGTGAAAGTTGGCATTGTTGACAAGGGGCGTTCCATAAAACAACCATTGTCTGATGTATTCAACAATGCATTTTCAAAGTAAGCTAAACTTGGGTGGCCACTTTAGTTAATGAATTTACTAAATACCACTAAGAGATGCATGATATGACTATATCACTAAAACTTAAACCGGAAATTGACTATATTTATCTTATCTTTACGTAGAATGCTACGTTTGAAGATCATAAATAAATGTAGCGGCCATGTAACATGAACGAACACGGGTATTATTGTGCATCGATTCTAATTCTAGCGGGCAAAATAAGAAACGCTGACTTCTTTGGTCATGGGGATGGAAAACAAATCAGGGGTGTAATACCTTCTGCAAATCTACACCTCTATGATTTTAGTTGTAGCATCTGTGCCAGCAACAACATATTAACTAATCAGACCTTGTTTGAAGTTTTGAATGAAGTTATCAAGAATAAAAATCCCATTCTTTTTGCATTTGATATGAAATCCCCGTATTTTGACAAGAAGATCCTTGGGCTATTCAAATCAACAACCTTGTTGCTAATAGCACGGGTAACAATGGCTTAAAAGAAGCAACAATGGCATATAAGATGCCTTAGTGTTTAACCGTTAGGGCACGCAATTCCGTGAATGACTCCAAAAACAGTAGTAGAAATTGATTAAACTACAACAGTTGAAAACTATGTCAGATGAGGTGAGAGAGATCAAGATCTTAAGTTAGTTTAAGGTAAAGTTATATATATTTTGATCTTTATAACTCTACCTCAAACTGACTTAAGATCTTGATCACTAAAACTGACTTAATGATCATGTGGAGAGTTTATTAATGTTTCCAAAGTCATTAGAGTTCATACAAATTTTACGCAATTTGTTAATTCACAAATAAGTTTTACATAAATTTTTAATGATAATCAAATGACCAGGGTTCAATATCTATTGGAGTCTTTTTTTGCTTTTTACTCTTTTACCTAAAAATTGAGGCCCAATTTATGAAACTTGAACATGGCCCCAAAATGGTAGCCATTTCTAGCACCACCCCTACATATGCAATGGAGTGTTGATTTCTAATTGAACGACTAAACTTAAAATGTAAATTTTCACAATCCTGATACTCCTTTCATAACATGCCAAAATTAACTCCGTTTCAAATTATCTACTATACTTTCAATTTTTGGATGTTTCAAAATACCTATGACACTTTTATTTTTACGCGTTTCCGTCTATAAAATGCATTGGGACCCACCCACACCTACCCTTACTCTCACTTAGACTTGGCAAAGTTGGTCCGAATCCGAAATACCCTGATCCGTGGTCCGATCTGGATCCGAAAAGGGATGGTCCGAATTTGAACAATCCGAAAATGGTCCAATCCAATATTAAACCTATCCGAAAAAATCCGATCCAACGACAACCAAATCCCGAAATCATGGGTTTCGACACGATCCGAACTATAAAAGTGACCCGATTTTCCCTTGAAATAAAATTGTTAACTTTACACTTTAAAAAAAAAAAAGGTGTTTCTACATAGTTTCCCCTAGGTTTTGCGTTTTCTATGTTGTACCCTCCTAGATCTAAAATTGTAATCAATGCCTCGACATTTTCTGGAAGGTAAGCACTTCTCCACTTATACAAAATCCAACCTCCTATGCTAAATGTTGATTCCGAAGCAACAGTTGTGATGGGCACAGTCAAAATATCCATGGCAAGATGAGAGTGTTTCCCATATCGATGCTCATTTTCTTTCCAATATTGCAAAATGTCAAGCTTTGCTGTGCGCTCTAGTTTAGCATCCTCTAAGTAACACCCAACTTTGACTTCAAAGTGAAAGAAGTTGTAACTACTTGATCATCAAAATTCTAGGAAAATAATTGATGAAAGTATAAGTACAAAATGCAGCTAAATTTTTCTATACAAGGTCGAATCAAGTCAATCAACTAAGCTAAACATGTTAATAATAGCATGTGTATGCAATTACCTCGGTGGAAGACTAACAGAAAGAATCAAAAAAATAAATAACAGAAGCAGAACTCACAGCAAAGTAATTTCGAAATGATGTGCTTGTAGTGTTGCTGGCTGTTGGTATCGATGTATCATAATCTTTGTAAAATCTCTCAAACTTGAATAGGATATCAGGAATTCTCTAAGAACAGGTAACTTGCAGCGCGGATCAGGGATTACAGCAAATGCAAATAACATGCCATAGTTATCGACTCATCGTCTTCTGAATTGAACTAATAATTTCCAATTTGTACATTTCTAGTTATTTGGCTTATATTAATTTAACCTATTGGCCCAATGGATTCACGATAGATTTATCCTTCATTTCATGGATCTTACGCGGAGTATGAAAAATAATACCAAAAACTAATGAATATCATTTTATGTAAAAATTAAATTAGTGATAACAATGTGTGAAATTGTAAACTAATGAATATTATTTTATGTAAAAATTAAATTAGTGATAACATGTACTAGCATGGACAATCATTGTTTAACTATTTTGAAGTATTATACTCGTACTTCGTAGTATTTTTTTTTTACCCAAGTACTAATAAATCAATGATAAAATTGTTGATAACTAATTACATATGCATTATATATATATACTACGTATATATAGAATTGGTGAATAATAGGAACTGAGAACTTATCTTGGCTCTCTTCTACAGTTTCTCTATTTTCCTTTCAAATGCTCTCTCATGCGATTTCATCTTTTCAATTTCGCACATTTAAATAATAATTGCATGATCAGTAATACAATAATTACGCATGTAACACCTCAGCTAAAATGTTGAGAAAACTTAAACGCTTAAACTTCACTTAAATGTACAATCGATCACATTCATGCAATTTCCATTCAATCTATGACACTTCATGATTCTGACACACCAATTAACATCCTTCTCTAAATGCTTCTAGTACATCCAACAAGGGTAATTTTCCTAGTCTTCCAGGTAGTTTCGCAAGATCATCAAGTCTGCATTGACATTAGAATTCTGATATATTCGGTTAACGAGAAAACTAGACATGTAAAGCATACTTTCACTCTCCGATGAGAGCGTGCGAATGATGAAAATCGACTCAAGTGTAAAATACACTTCCTGTTGACACAAATTGAAATCCTTGCCAAATAATTTGTTCCCCACTTCACTGATGTAGGCCTTAATCTATGACGCACAATTTGAAATCCTTGCCATTTGATCGTCACCTGCCCGTCTTCCATCATTTATTTTTACAGAAAATATCTAATGAACCTGGGCTCTTAAACCAATTGTGCAAGGAGTGTGGCAACCAAATTACACAAACAAGCCACCATAAAATCCGACGATTAAAAAAAAAAAATCAATACCATAACAAATTAACAGCACACGAAAGCTTCACATGAAAACAAAATCAAGGCACCAAGAACCCATCCCTTGGCTCACTTCAACTAAAACCTCTTCAAACCGACTAAAAAAATTACATTCTGGAATGAAAACAATAACTAGACATAGTTGATATTGCTTAACAAAAAACAATTCAGCTGATGATGCATGGTGGTTTATTACCCTTTCTATATGTTCCACCATGGTCTGTAGCATATAACTGCTAAGTACCCAGATCATAAAGCACTACTATTTTCAACGAATAATATTTAATCTAGCAAAAAAAAACACAATGAATATCAATAGACACCAGGGAATTTACCCTTGTGTATATGATAAGCTTAACAACACAGCCAAGCATTGAGGAGCAAACAACAAACAAAAACACCCTTTCCGTATAGTTCATAAAAAATATTGAAAAAATTGTACAACCATAGCAACAAACAAAAACAATAAACAAAATGGTATAAAGATTACATCAGATAAAGAATGACGATCCATACCAGTAAAAACTCACAGATAAGATACCTATTGAGAAGAAACAAACCGCACAATAACGAAAGCCAGCCAGTAGAAAATTATCACATATGAGGAGGGAAATAACCCACCGACCAATTTAAGCATTGTGAATAGATGTAAGGATGATTTATAAATAAACAAGCAGGTGAAAGTGTGAAACGATAACAAAATCACAAACATAACTTTGCTAGATATTTTATTTGCTGAACTCATGAAGCAAGACAGCATAGCCCATGCAATTATGCAGCAACCAAAGAACAGAGGAATCACAGGTCACATTTTCACCTTCTCACTATCAGAGATGGATAGAAGACTTACATTGACCAACTAAGCCAAAGGATACCATAGCACAATCCACTAATTAATGCTGGGCGAAGAGAAACAGTGGCAGGGTTCTTATATATTTTTATTAAATTTTATTTTATTTTTTGAGAGAGAGGACGGGCAGTCGGGCAATTATTATAGCATACTAATCTCCGCTAAGTCTAAGATACTATACCGAAACGTACCAATATAATCGAGTTCTGAACTACTACCGGTATCCCATCTAATATTACACACCCTTCTAACATGGCTAATTATAAAGAAAACGAAACATAGCCATCATATCTAATAAAAGAACCCTGTTGTCCATCACAGGGTTCCTATATAACCATACTGCTTCACAGTTAATGACACTATAACTGAAGAACAATCCTGGATGAAACAGAATATAAATGGACAATGACAAATGCAGACCAAATAAAATACACCCAACTCCATTGAGTTGAAATAAAAGCAAGTAGACAAGTCTAGGGTTTATACATCTTAGCAAACACAGAAAACTCATTGTGAGCTAGGCAATTTCAGATAAGTAATTTGGATCAGGGGGTCTTTGACTTGTATTGGTTTTTATTTCTCTGTAGAATAGTATCTCCCTTTAGATTTCTCAAGGCTTTCCATGCTACATACACCGAAAGGGCAAAGTAGCATGGAGATGGGGGACAAAAATACCACTAACCAACTGAAATAATGTAAATAACCTGTAACAATCTTCCAAATCCTAGTCCAAAAATAGCTCCACCAATGGTTTAATAAATACCAGTACATACTTGCACCATCAATATATAGTTGTATACAGAAGACTCCTCATATCAACTCACCAGAGCTGTCTTACTACATTTAAACAAAGAAGACTTACAAGGACAGCAGCCCAGATTCCAATATCAAGTCGGTATTAACAAGACACAAAAATTTCACACAGAGGTGAGGTGCCATATCACATAAATCAACCACATACAGCTAACAGTGGAGGGCTACATCTCACACAGGAATTTAGCTTTAATGCTTAAGGCGACAACTGACTCACAGTAGTTTTTCAATAGTCCTCGAAAGTACTAGCAACTAATTAGGCTTTGTATCTACAACTGAAATAAGGTGTACATTTCTGAATCATTTTGACTTGATCTGGTCTAGTCTAATCTCCTAATCTGACTGACCTTTGAATGTACTTTGCCACCAGATTAAAGGAAAAATATCTCAAGTGAGGTCTTGTTAGAAACTCCTCAAAGTGCATTTTCTGAATATCTAATTTTCATAATTTTTACAAATATGCAATAAAAGACCTTTTGTAAGAAAAAAGTAAAAATATTTGGTCAGGCCTAGTCTTGATTTTTCTGGTAAGGTGTGATCTAGCTTGATATTAACAAGATTAGGTAATAACCTCTTGTAATAAGGTTGGAGGGCAGAACATTAATTAGCATTTTCTCAAGAAATCTCATAACCTTAGCAGAATTAATACTTCTTAAATATTATCTCCAAAGATGTTAAACAAAAGTTACCCAAGAGAGAAATTATAAATGGAAACATGAGAGTTGTAAGGTACCTCTAAATGGTCTCGAGCTATACATTTTGTGATGAACCAAAATACAATTGGGATTTCTACCTCCTCAACCTGCTGGCTTTAGTACTGCAGTGACATTCGCAGAGAAAAGTCATCAAAGTTCAGGAGCTGTCATGAATTTATTATGCAACAAGTTAATGGAAAAACATATCAAGACTTCCACTAGAATTGACAGCAAAAGACAAACAAAGAAGAAAATTAGCAGCACAGGTAAAAAGAAACTTTGGCAATTTGAGGCATACAGGCACTTGGACAAATAAGAAACTTGCAAGGCAATCTCTTCTGATCACATATAGTACTTATGCAAAACAAATCCCAAACTTTGGAACACAAACTGACTTCTGCTGCAAAGGACCGCATGAACCAACTTCTTGCATTTTCAAGGAACAAAATGCCAACAAACATTGGCATTGGAGGAAAGAGCCTGATCAATATATATATTTATCCTACAGCTAGAATTTCATTCATGACATGAACTAGGTCAGCTTCGGTTGACAAGTTACAGCAGATTTGATATGCTCTTTATCCTCAAAATTTATAACAATTTAGTCAATAATTCCAACAAAACAATAACACTATGAATTTCTAAATCAACCACTACAGAGCTGAAAAAGAAGTGTCAAGTTCTCATTCATCTGTGAAGGGGGGCGGCTAAGCTTTGTACAGGGCCAGAAAATGGCTTATCCAGACTAAAGAATTTACATAAGAACATACTACAGAGTTACAAAAGGCCCATGGCACCCTCAAAATACATATGATTGCTCCCCTGAAATATTCACTGCCATACAGCACAAACATAATTGCATAATAAATATGTCCACACAACACAAGAGAACAGGACCAGACCCCCAGAAATACAGATGAATTAATCCCCAAATAAGGTACACCAGTATGCACGTTTACAAACAAATGTGCTTTAGCAAGAAGTATCCACACAAGCACCTTTTCTCTATTTTAGATATACTAGATAGCACATTACCTTTTTTCTAATTTGTAAAACGCTCGTCAATGAAAAGCAAAGAACGTTCCCTCCGCTTTACACCAACCACCTCTTGCAAACACAATTCCAATATTAAATTATGCAGAAAAAGAAATTTGTGACAAATCCATAGTAGTTTGGTCATTAAAACCAAAATCTAAAAGAAATGTTTACAATGTTCCAAATCAAAAATTCAAATTACTTTACATATACATGATTCAGCTGAATCTCATCTTTCTAAAAAGTAAAGCCATTATGCCACACCTTATGATGCAAGCACTGCTGTGATGCATCCTATCACCAAAGCTGGAAGATAACATGACTGCTACAGATCTTGTGGCATAGGCAAAAAATATATCCCTCCAGTCGTTTCATCAAACATGCCTGCTAAAAAACAGCATGAATGACAATCTGACAAGCCTTTCTTTAGCAAGTTGTGTTGAATCCATCTCCCTCACCTCATGCATGTCCCATTTGTTGGCATTGGCAAAAATCATGGAGCATAAAAATCTCAGGTCTACAGTAGGGCCTATGTTACTACCCAAACAAACCGCCAGTTCCCAATTCTGCTTGCTGCAATTCCTTCCTGCGTTGCTCTTCCAAGGGATCAGGACTCTTCAGAACCCTGCGCACTCGCCTGCCAGTCCCATAACATAGATATTAAAAATAGAAAAACACCAAAATAACAGCCAATAAATGAGCAAAAGGGAAGAAATGCAATTCCAAAAATCATGATACCTGTCTTGCGCATGTTGAGCAGGAAACGTAGGCATAAATTCCTTTGACTTGGGAAGAGGAACTTCATGAAACCATTCATGGTTTAGAGCAGCATCCGCTGTGATACGCTGCAGCCAATAGAGAATTGCAGTCAGATATTGTTACGACACACCAAGCAAGAGAGTAATGTTTTATTACTTCCTATAATGACAAATACCTTTTCAGGATCATAAGTTAAAAGTCTGTTCAACAAATCAAATCCAGCATCAGAGAGGACAGGAGATCCGGTAAATGACGTGGCTGGAAATTTCTTGCGCAACTGGTTATACCTGAAAAGGACAGTTGAATAGTTATTCATTACAAAAGTATGTGCCCTTGTCACTAAAAGTGTACCAATGAGGCCAGATAGCCAGACCAGAATCACCCAAAGCTGGAAGCCTGGGAAAAGAGCGCAAAGAATAAGAAAACCTTGAAGCAAAGGTAAACACGTCTTAAGTGATAGTTTACGAAGAACTTACTGGTGCTTCACGAAATTGACCTTCACTCCAGGCAACTTGGAAAAACCACGCCAGATTGTCTCATTTGGTGTGCCAAGGATCCTGAATATCTGCCAATAGAAAAGAGGAATATCAATAACTAGATAAGTGTCAAAAAGAAAAATAAAGCAGTAATTCCTATTTCCTAGGCATCCTAGCTATACTAATTCTACACTCATCTGAATCAAAAGAAGACCAAATTCTGAAGTACATACATTCAACAAATGGATGTACCTTGTCAAGTTGATCGAATTCCGATTTTCCATTAAAAAGAGGCTCCTTTGACAAGAGCTCAGCCATAATGCAACCGAGTGACCACATATCAATGGCTGTTGAATACTCCTTTGCACCCAACAGAAGCTCCGGTGACCTACCAACGAAAAGAGAGGAACAAATGAGATTTTAACCCCCACCATAAGCACATTATCAATGGCCATGGAAGATCTAAACCTTACAAACTTTACAAAACTACTAACTGAGAATGATCAAACAGCACATAAGTTAATTAGACAGAAACTCAGAGTAACAACTAAAAGCAACGATGCTCTGAACAGCAGCTACCAGATAACAAAAAATGAGATACTCGTATGTAAGTCATACACAAGAATCCAGAAGCAGAACAACCGAGAAGCATTACTGCATAAGCCATAATATATGTTCTTGAAATATAATAGTTTACTAAATTTGAAATCGTAGAAGAGAGAGGGATATAGAGGATAAGTCCACCAAAACAATATAGAAAGAACAAGCATAGAAAAGAGATTCTCCACTATAATTAAATAAAAAGGAAAAGAATCAACAGTCTTACATACAAGAATTAGAATTTTGCTGCTCACCTGTACCAAAGTGTGACAACCAAATGAGTATATGGCTTCAATGGACTCCCATATTGACGAGCCAATCCAAAGTCACATATCTTCAACTCACCCTGGTTGTTCATAAGCAAATTTGATGTCTTTAAATCACGATGAAGGACCCAATTATCATGAAGATACTTTATACCATCTAATAACTGAAGCATGAGGCATTTAACTTCACTCTGACTAAATGGCTGTTTCATGGTCTCCATAAGCGCTTTAAGATCATGCTCCATGTATTCCATAACCATAAAGATACTATCAAGGTTGCTTCCAACAACTACTTCCTTGACATCAACAATGGACGGGTGGTGCAGTGACAAAAGAATGTTAATTTCCCTCAGAGAAGTCAATGGAAAGCCCTCCCTTTCCTTCTCCATCTTTACCTTTTTCAAAGCTACAATTTCTCCAGTCTTCTTATCTTTAGCTCTGTAAACTACACCATAAGTTCCTTCGTCTATCTTATTCAGTCTTTCAAACTCATCCACACTCCTACAACCCTGAAGCATATTCACTGTTCTTTTAGGAGCAACTGGAGGTTCAGGTGTTTCACGAGAATAATCTTCATCATCGGAGTCAGCTCTTATGGGGCTTAGGCTAGAGTCAGTGTCATTGTATCTATCATCTACCTCAATATTATCCTCCCTATCTTTATTATTTTGAAGATCACGATCTCCAGTGGAAGGTCTACTTTGCATGCTTCCATCAGAATCTGATAATCTTCCCTTAGCTACGTCAGAAACCTCTCTTGCACCATCTCCAGCATCTGGACTAGATGACTTCCTGCTCTTCCTAGTATCTAGATACTCAGAGGAAGGCATCTTCTTCCTCTTTTTCCGCATTATGTCATCATCTGAAATCTCACCTTCATCGGCCGGAGAATTAGCATTACCTGCCCACCTAGAGGCTGATATGTGCCTGGTGGGAATGTAATCCTCATCATCTACCTGCTCAGCCCCTTTGCCATTCCCCCACTGTGTCTCCTGATATGGTGAAGAACGATGATTTGCAGGAGACTCAGATACATTATCATCATACAAACGATCCTGTTCCACAGAGGGATCAACAAGAGAAACTTCAACGTCTTCATGCGGTTCATCACTTTTAACAGGAGATACCTCCTTACTCTCTACACGCATCGTGGCAGGAGACTGCTGGTATGATTTCCGAACAGGCTGAGGAGGAAGGGAAGCAGTAGTGGATACAGATCTACTTCTTGATGCATCTGTAGCACCCTTGTCATCTCTATCCCATACAATAGGAGAAAACTTTCTTTTCTTAGTAGCCAGAGGAGAGGAATGAGCCCCATTATCCATCTTCGACACTTCATTATCCTTTCCAAACCGTGATTCTGAATCGACAGCACTCTCAGACCCATCCTCACTAGACAATTCACCAGGCTCACGATCCGTAATCCTCGCTGAATTCCCACATCTCCTAGGCCCTCCTCCCCCTCCCCCTCCACCACCACCACCAACCCCACTTCCCCCTGAATCACTTTTACTCGAAGACGAGCGATAATCACCGCCGTTAGCAAAGTCCCTTTCCCTAATATCTCTCTGTCTAACCCTAGCTCTACTGTCTCTACCCCTTATTATCTCCCGATCCCTAACCTGATTACCATTCCTAATTTTATCATATTCACCTTTTGAATAAGCTATATCTCGCCTCGCGGTATCATAATCCGAGCTGCGTTCCTTATATTCAGTTTCGTGGTACCCCCCATTCCTTCCAGCAGCCATAAATTCAAGCAAAGAAACCCCTTTACTCGGAAAACAATTTCAATTACACCCTAATCCTCAATAACCCTAATTATATACCTTCAGCCGACCAGCAATTCAAAGGCGAACACACAAAGAAACAATTTTTTTAATTTTTTTGTGTTTTAGATGAACATAACCAAATTGAACTTCCTAAAACAAAAACCCTAGAAATCAAAATTTACACCAACTTGCACTCACACAGATCTGAGAAAATAAATCGAAACTTAACACAGAAAACAAAGAAACACAAAAAAAAAGGAGCAATTAATAGCAAAGGCGGACCTTTATCAGCAAAATCGCCAGCTCCGAAGCTTGAAAACTCGTTCGTCGAGCAATGAATTCAAATGAATACCAAAAAGTGCGAAATTTCTGTTTAACAAAAACAAAACCCTAGAAATCGAAATTGAGGAAATAGAAACCCTAGGAAAAATTCATCAAAATACGGAAATCGAAGAAGAGAGAGAGAGTGGAAGAGTGACGAAGAAATTAAGGGTTTGCCGGAGGAGGAGAGAGAAAAGGGGGGAAGATAGAATGATGTAGAGAGAGAAGGAGGTAATTGGGGGAGAAGAAAAGCGAAGGAAGTCACCGCAAAGTGTGAGACGACGCTTCTTCGGTGAAAGTGTGATTGGCTTTGCCAATTGCCACCCAACCTTACCTTATTCAACAGGAATATGGATCGATGGATGAATCCTCCAATTATTGCTACCGTTCTATTTTCTTAAGTTTTATTTTGCGGGTTTTCTATAATAATCTCAACTATTGTACTCGTACTCATATTAAAGTATTGATATTATTAACTATTTTTCGGGTTTTGACACTATTACAAGTGAGGACGTTGATATTTGGAGGTGGGGATTGCTTACCTTGCACGATTAGCCGTATTTTGAGCACCTGACATACTAAATTAAAAAAAAAAAAAAAAAAAAAAAAGGGTTAAAGTTAAGGTCTGGTCAAGACAAAACTCCCTACCTAAGATTATAATACCTTTGTTTCTTATTTTGTGTAATTATTGTCAAAAATGAATGTTACAAATTATGTACAACAAACAAAAAAGTTTCCTATTCCTCAAACAAAAAAAAAGTTTCCTTTTATAGTAACTTTTCTTGAGTAAATTTATTAATAAACTCTTATTCCAATTCTATTAACACATTAAATCACACGTTATTAACTTATTGACCTAACTAAATCACCCTCAATAAAACCTTGATTGTTTCCTCATCAAATCGGGTCAATGCTACTTCCTTCTCCCCTATAAAGTCGTCATCGCACACCCCTCCTCATTAAGGAGTCACCCCGTAACAATTGGAGGCTCACATGTCATCGCTCTCTCTCTCTCTCTTACTATTAAAACTTAAGGTTGATGTTTTTATGATCAAATTGGACCAAAAAAATCTTTTCTTTTTCATATTCTTAGGCATGTAGTGGTGGTTCAAGGAAAGGGAGGGCAGGTGGTGGTGGTTGACTATGTGGACATTAGTGGGGGTGGGGTGGGTGTTGTTTGTGGTTGCATGGGATGGATGTTCATAGTGACAACTAGGTGTTGGTGGTTGTTGACTGAATGGGGTGGGTCTTTGTGGTGGTAGGAGACGAAAAAAAATGGAAAAAAAAAAAAAGTCATGTGACATGATAAAGACTAAGAGAATTTATTAGTTAAAAAGAAATGTGATGCATTTAAAATAAAATTATATTAAAAAAAATATTGTTAGCAAGATCAAGATTTATAAACAAGCCTTATAACCTTTACATGTTTTGAAATTCAACAAGAGTCTTTTAGAACCCTAATCATGCTCAAGTATGAGTAGCATGCTTCTAGTTCACATAGCGACAAACACTCCCTTTTCTCCCCTTGTCTTTACACGTTCCCTAGCCAGCTTCCTATATTCACACATCCACACACTATCTCTTTCCTCTGACTATCTAACAAGTAACAACATATAAGTCATACCAATGTTCAAGTTCCACTATTGGACTCAAATACAAACCAATATTATGCATTTATATTAACCAACTAAACCAGCTAATGCAACCTTCCATCAACTAGTACAAAAAGTCTACAAACAAAGCATATAACCAACTAGTCATACCATTTAATGCTTTATGTATTATTAGAATATACTCTGTAGTACAATTGCAAGAAAGGGAGCTAATTTTAGTAGCTTTTGGACAAAGGCCCAATTCCAAGTTTTTAGAAACTAGAGGATTAAGCATATAGCAACAAGCTTAATGAATACTAGTAACTCTTTATCAAACAGCCAAATTAGCATTTTTAAGGAGCCAAATGTCATGTGCTAACAGTTTCCCCAAGGTCGTGGCACAACAAGTCCTATACGAGGCAATCTCCCATGCTTCTGTACCTTACTAATGCATGTGTTTGTGATACATGGTTAGTGTCATTGCGTGTTGTTTCCTCTAGTAATTACTCCGTAGCTTATTGTGACTTGGATCAAGCCTCGGGAATTCAGGCACCAACGCGTGATTAGCATTTGTCCAATGACACAACCGATGGATAGTCTAAAAGACTAAGAACAACTAATCCACTTATTAGGATTTCACTTGATAAATATGGTACTCTGGAACAAACTTTGTTTGAGTTGTCCATCTTTAAAAAGTCCAAGTGAAGCGAAATCTTAATCTAACTTCCCCCAATTTGCACTAACATGTCAAAATCAATGCATATATGATACACCCCAAGAGTACTCAAAACAGTGCAATATGGCACACATGCATAAAAAACCTCCAGTCCAAATGTATGTAATGCTGTCTATTATTTGGTCAAAACCTGAAACTAGTTTTAATAATAGAGGAACTCATTTTACTCATACAGGCCGAGCTTAAACTATATGTGGGTTCGGAACAAATTGGCGCATATTGCTGCAACAACCAAAGGGGGTGGGGAATAATCCTAGACTCCTAGTTACATTCAAGCACCAGTTCATAGTTCTACATTTCGTCACCATGGCATCTGCAAATCTGCAATGTTAAAATCTGATATTCTGATCCATGGATAAGGTTGTTGCCTTGCATGCAAAACTCATCTTCCTTTACTTTCAGGATTGATCAACATTTCAAGGGTGTCACTGTCACATGAAAAAACTGAAAGGAAAAAGGTGCAAAAGCTTAATAATAATGCAACAAACGTTAAGACCGGTATCTAGATACAATTATGTTGAGGAAGTTTACTACTGCCAGCACAAAGAAGGCAACTTAAAGGAGAATGTAGACGGCAAATGACCCATTCTTCTGATATAATCTGCTTTCTCTGATGTCTTGACGGCTTTCTCATTCAATTTAGCCTCTGCATTAGCACGCTTCTCTTCAGCGATTCTTCGAGCTGCAGCAAGTTTATTGGCATACTTCTCCTGTGCTCTAGCTTTCAATCTCTCTGCTTTCACCTATGACAGCAATATAAAATTCAGTGATCCTCTTAGTGCCAAAGTAATTCATATGCACAAACATGTGGAAGAAAATTGCTTCTTAAGCTGTCTACTTATTTCATAAGCCATAAGCCTTATCTTTTATAGATATAGGAGCATATTCCAATTTCAGTTGATCAATCAATCTGATACTATTCATCACAAATGATGCAGAAAATTGAATTAGGATATATAACATTGAAGCAGCGGTATCACAGTATCAGGTAATAAACCAGTAGAACAACAATACATAACGTGAGGGGCTTCTCAGTTTTGGCCTGTAAGCTACTATAAGCTGTGATGCCAGAGTTTTGCGTGTGAGGACAAATGAAGTAAAGGCACACAGTGCATATAATTTAGGCTAGCAACTCCACTAGATGCCACTATTACAAGCTCGTTGAATCAATTTTAGTCTTATTCACCGTGAAGACTAATCAGCTGTGAAGAGTTGAAGATCAACAACAGCAGAAGCACTAAGATGTATTCCCGGTGTCAGCAGTTCACAATTTCACATTATTCTGACCTCTCCCAGTCAATGATGTAACATGATGTATCTGATTACCCTCTATGGTAGTTGCTCTATATCCATTATCACCCTCGTCATCACTCTTGTAACTTGCAAGTACACAACTTTGGACAGATGGACTATACAAGTACTACTATTTGATATAAGAAGTTCAAAGCATCTTAGATGAGTAGATTACCTCTAATTTCTTCATCTCCATTTCGGCTTTTCTCTTCTCGTGATTTTCCCAAGCTTGTATCTTCACTTCTTCACGTTTATACCTATAAACCAATCAATATGATAACAGTTAAACCCTTCTGTTTTTATCAGTGAATCAAATATCATAATGTAGTTCAAGGAAGATGTATTTAGAATGTTCACCTGGCCATATATTTGGCACGCTCTGCTTCATCCCAAGCCAATGCTCGAGTTTCTAAAGGACTAATCTTCTTAACAAGTTCCAAACCATTACTCTCCCCCATCTTATGACCATTATCTTCTTCCTCGCCATTAGACATTCTATAAGCACCATTATGTCTCCCAAGAGGAGATTGATAACTCTCGGTACCTAGAGCACCATGCTGGCACCTCATTGGGGTAGAACCCCCCGAAGAAATTGGACTGCGCGCAGCTGGTGTGGTAGCTCGTATAGGGGTGGCTGTCCTAGAAGGTTCTTGACTAGCTATTGGAGTCATCTCAGTCCCCATATCCCTCACACAAACTGATCTAACACCTAAACTAGCATTTCCCACCCCCTCATTAACTCTCCAAAAACCCTCTTCACAATCAACATTCTTGGTATGAACATTCTTCTCATTCTCTGCCTTCTCCACCTCTTCATCACCATCAACCGAATAACGGTGCTCTTGATGGGGAATGGGGGCAATCAACCTCGTATCATCGGCATTCGAGTTTCGAGGCCTATTAGCCTTGGAGGAATTCCTTTCTCCTCCCCTTGACAACCCAACTAACCATTTTTGTGCATCATCCCACTTTGAAGGTGTTGGTTTTCCTAAGGCGGTTCGAGACGGGTGAGAGGCTCTAGTAACCCCATTCCCTTTATGAAACTCAAATGTAATGCTTCCATTAGAGATCTCCTTATCCTCCATAGATCTCACCATCTCAATTTTTACCCTCAATCTAATGAAAAATCTTCACTCAAAAATAGCTAGTACTATAGTACTAGTACTCATACAACTGTACTATACTTTAATCAAACACCTTCCTTGCATATACTGTCAATTTATTACTAAGATCCGCAGATTTCCAGTGCTGTTACTGAGTTTATTTGTCAGAAATTACACTTAATTTGTCACTCAGTACTCATTTAAAACTACTACAAAAATACCTAAACACCCTAAATAATGCAATAAAATCTGGGGAAAAAAAAAACATAAATCAACCCATGAACACCATAAAAAATTTCACAAAAACAAACAACCCCAAATCATCTGAATGACTAAAACATCATGTTTTCAACACTTTTTTTGTTTTAACCAAATATTCTTAAAAATGAACTTACCTCAAAAATTCATCTGGGTAGTTTACTTTCACTCTGAAAAAATCACAAAACCAACATTATAAACAATGAAGAAAATAAATTAATTAAAGAATGTAAAAATCATGAGAGGGGAAAATAAAAATATCAAGAAAAGATGAAATCTTGACAGAACAAATGAGTAAATGAAACAGTAGTATGACAGCAACCCATAAGTACAATCATAAAATTCCAACTGGGTTTTGAAAAGGAGAGCATAAATTTTTGGGAAATGCTATTTAGTTTTTTTATTTTTTTTCTTACAATTTTTCACAAAATAAAAAAATGGAAGTTGAGGTCATTCAGATCCAAAGAAATAAATTAACAAAAAAAAAAATAAACTTGACAAAAATTTACAGGTACTTGCACGTTTGAGGGAAGGATTAAGCAACAGAAAGAGTGTAACGGTTAAAAAACCATAGTATAAAAATATAAATGTAATTAATTATACTATAATATGGTTTTTTAGTACATAGAATATGGGCAGAAAATGACATGGGAAAGTGTGTAAATTTGTGATTATCGAGTAAACTGAGGAAGGGAGAGGGGGGCAAGTTAGCTTCCCTCACTTCGGAATCTAGGGAAGAGTTATTTGTTGTTACATCCACGTTAATTAACTTTTGATTTTACTATTGTTAGTATGTTTAGTGTGAATTGCTGTTATATGTGGGAGTCATGCATCTGAGTCAAATCTCAAGTTTGAAGGATGGTTGGTGACGATGGTTGTGGTTCGTGTTAGATCGGATCTTGTGCTTTGGGGATAGCTAGACCTAATTTTTGGTCTGGCGATAAGCAATGTTTCATATAAGAGTTTTCAAAAAGGTCAACTAGTTTACGACTTAAACCCACGTATCAGTACAATGAGTCATGCCATGTCTGCATGTCTAAATTAATTTTCATTGATTTAAAGCTTTAAAAGTGATTTAGCGTGTCGAATCATGTTATACCTGCTTTTCCCAAATAAATGAGATAAACTACTCTTGACAGATAATGTTTATGTTGTGTATTTTTTCATGCCCACACGACATGGTTCAGTACCATCGTTAAAGTGTTTATGACTCAATGTCATCGTTAAAGTGTTTACTCGTAGCCTCGTAGGTAACACGTTGGTTGATGGTTATCTAATTTCATTGGAAAATTTGCAAATTGCAGTCATTTAAAGTTAGGAGCGCTGATATGATTGACTGAATTAAACTGAATGAAGTGAACTTATTGGAACTGAACTAAACTGACCTGAACTGAATATTTTATGAGAGAATGAAATTAAGATAAGAACTGGACTGAACTGAGCTTATTGGAGCTGATTGAACTGAACTAAACTGAACTGAAAATAAGCCGAAGATAATTAATATTTTGCAAATTGCAGCCAAAAGTTGTTATAAATTGTAAGTTGCAACCTAATTTAGTTTTTTATCGGTTTGCGTGTCGAAAATGGTTCGATTAAGGTTTTAACAACCATTTTATCAGTTAAGGATCTAAATTGAGTTGGAAATTGGCAAAAAATTAACGTAAGTGCCTCTTTTTTATAGCAAAAATAGTTGTCCACAAAATCAATACATTTTTGTTACGCAAAACGAGGCACTTACGTTTATTTTTTTTTGTTGATTCCGAGCTCAATTCGGATCCTTAAGAACTAAAATGGCCCCAATAGCTTTAACTCAATAATTTTCTACACGCAACCGATGAAAAAGTTAATTGGGTTACAATATACAATTTATAAGAATTTTTGGGTTGCAATTTACATTTTTTATTAAAAATAACTGCAATTTACAAAATACAAGAGGCTGCACTTGACCAATTTCCCAATGTTGTTTGAATTCATGTAAGTACAAGTATTATTTAATTTATCAAAACAAACAATTACAATGTTTTGAATTGAATAGTATAAATGTCAATTCATTATGAGTAATAAGAAAGAAATGTTTATAAAGTGATGTATTTCTTCCAGTTTTTTTTAGTTGCAACCAATTAATTGGAGTGCATCTCAGCGCATATTTGCTATGCGTTTACAATGCATATAGGATGACAAAAATGTAAATTTGGCAAATTTTAGAATTAAAAATGAAAAAAATGACTTTATAGTGGTACATTATAATGTGCCATTATGCCTGTATAATGTATCATTAAAGGATAAGTTGTCTTAAATCTTAATATTACTTTATATATACTATTATGTATGTAGTGGTATTTTTTACCATCCAATAGATTAAATATTTTCCCTCAAAATACTTGTCACCTGTTACCTATTAAGCATGTAATAATACATTTTTCATCCTATTTATTTGCTAACAAATAGCAGCTATGCGCTAAGGGTTAACCCATTAATTAAAGCATAACTTTAAAAATAATAAATTTAGGAGAGAATCGGAAAAAAAAAATAAAAAAATAAAAAATAAAAAAAAAAATAAACTCCATATAAGCCACCAATGACTATCATGATATATATACTCTATAACAATGTAAATGCAATTACGAGTAAATTAAACCATGTAAATGTAAAAGTTAAAGAAAAATGTTAGGTAGAAATCTTTTAATTTGTCATTACTCATTCAAAATAGGGAAGAAAAAAGGACAAAAATGGTGATGGGGCATATATAAATAAGGACAGAAAAGGATAATGATGGTAATAAGTCTGAGCCTTTTCACGTGAGTTATTAACACTTGGAATGGGCACTGAATGGATCATGGATGAGTACTAGTCTAGCTGGTAGCTACTTAGCTACCCTACCAGAGTAGCAATACTAGTATTTGATGGTGATAGTTGGGTATAGATGGCTAGATGCTCATACTTTGACTTTATGCTTCCTTCAAACATATGGTCATATGGTCATATAGTAATACTCATATGGAGTAGACTCTAAGGGTCTGTTCTCTTTCGTTGAAATTCAGTTTAATTCAGTTCAATTCAATTCAGCTCAGTTCAGTTCAGCTCTTAATTTACGTCTAATAATATTGCTAATGATATAAAGCCAAATTTCATTCTTTCAAGCTCTTATTACAACGACGACGACGACGACAACAACAACAACAATAATAATAATAATAATAATCAATAAGTAATAAATAATAATAATAATAATAATCATCAATAAATAATAATAATAATAATAATAATAACAATAATAAATGAAATAATAATACTAATAATAATAATCAATAAATAATAATAATAATAATAATAATAATAATAATAACAATAATAATAATAATACTAATAATAATAATAATAATAATCAATAAATAATAATAATAATAATCATCAATAATTAATAATAATAATAATAGTAATATTATTATTATTATTATTATTAATACGTACATTTGTATATACACATATGTATAGTAATAAATAATCAAAGATCACTAATCCGTAGTTAAAAATCACTAATTAATAAGTTCAGTTCAGCTGAGTTCAGTCAATCGGAACATGCCCTAATTTAATAGTAGAAACTAGTTTGAAGGATATTATGAAGTGAGCTGAACTGAATAGTGCTGAAATGATTTACTTGTATTAATGAGAGAAGGAATTAAACTAAAATGAAATTAAGCTGAAGAGAATGCCCTAAGTGCCTAACTAAATACTACGTATATATTTGGGAACAAATTACCAGTGAGATATTTTTAAATGATAAAGCAATTTTTCTATTTTTTTTTTTTTTTTTTTGAAAAAAAAAAATTACAAGTATTTCGTAAACTAAAGTATTCTCAGGTGACACAAAGGGATTGTTTGGCAATCAGCGGTTGGTTGTTGACTTGTTTGACTAGCTGGAAGTATTTTATTTTTTTTTGGTACAAAAGAGGGCAAGCCCGTTTATTTAATAAAGGAGTATAATTACACGATAAGTCGTGGCAAGGCCACTCCTATGGTATCCTCCCAAAGGATGTTCCTTATTTCGATCGGAGGCTCATCGAAATAAACAACACGCTCTTCAAGAGGGACACCCATATTAGCTAGCTTATCGGCAACTTTGTTACCCTCCCTATACAGTGCACTACATTAACATTACTACCAAAAGATTGTAAAAGGTTGTCACAATATTTCAGAATATAAAAGCATTCTCCTTCACTTCGATCCTTGCTTCGAATAGCTTCAACACATGCTTCATTGTCCATTTGAATCATAATCTTGGTAGGTCCTAGTTGCACAACCATCTTGAGTCCAATTTCTAATGCTAGTAGCTCAGCTTTGTATGCACTACACACTCCAAAATTGACTGCAAAACCTCGAACAAACCGACCAGTACAGTCTCGAATCACTCCACCCCCACCAGCAGGTCCTGGTGTTCCTTTTGCCGCACCATCAGTATTGAGAGACTAGCTGGAAGTATTAAATGTATGAATTGATTTTTTTAACTTAGTAGTTTAAGCCACTTGTTTACAAAAGTGTTTGGTAAAATTATCAATGGTTGCTAGCTGTTTACTAGTATAAAGTGGGCCAACAAGCCAAAAGTCAATAGGGGAAAAGTCAATAGAAAAAGTTACCCCTATTAACTTTTGGCGGAAAAACCAGCTTAAAAGCCAGCTACCAAACATATTTTTTGACCGTTTGACCAAACAAAAAAGCCAAAATCTAGGTAAAAAGCCAATTGCCAAACACCCACAAATTTATACTGTAAACCGTTTCATGTTCTCAATGTACATGTCATTATTAAATAACATAGTAACGTTATTTATCCTAAACTATCCATAGATCACATCCATGATTTAGCATGTACTTTGATGATTTTTATTTTTATTTTTATTTTTTCGGTTTTATCTCGAATAATTTGCACAAGATTGTTCATTTGACTAGGTAATCAAACCAGTTAATATAACCAGCTATATCAATTAGCTACCATCTAATCACCAAACAAGACCTAAATAAACTATAAGGAGTCTTTTCATTAGCTCATCTAACATCTTAAGGTAAAAATACCAATAGGTTGATAGTGGATTGAGATTGCACTCAATAGGGAGGACTGTGTGTTTGATCCCGCACAACAATAGGGGTGGTGGAACTAGGGATGGAAATTTAATCCGAGTTCGATTTGAATCCAATAAAATAGATCCGAATTCGAATAGGAGGTGGATCGAACTAGGACCTTACGCAAAGTCCGACGGAGTCCGATATGAGTCCGAATCCGAAAGTATAAGCATATGCTCTATAACTTGGGACAATTATTTGCTTGTTTTGTAGCAAAATTTTGTTATGTAACTTAGTTTATAATTTAAATATATTATGTTTATACTTTAATTGGTATGACAATACAAGCAATTATAGGTATATGACATTACAAAAAAAAAAAAAAAAATTCGGATCATTTCGGAGGTCCGTTCGGATTTAGCCACATCCGACCCGAATCCGATCCGTTGCCATTCCTAAGTGGAACTTAACCACCAAGAACTGATCCTTAAATCCAAATTAGCCAAAAAGGTGAATCGGGTAGAACACAAAAAAAAAAAAAAAAAAAAAAAAAAAAAAAAAAAAACTCTTAAGGTGAAAATTGTATTTATAACCCAGCTTAATCTAAAACTCTAATTCAACTATCGACTCTCAAAGCTTATTTTTCATTTCGCAAACTCAAACAACTTTTAACAAGTAGCTAATTTGATTTACCAAATACTTTTATACAATCACTTAGTAAAATTTTCGTCTAAAAAATCATTTGGTAAATTAGTTAATACAATCATTTGGTCAAATTTAGCTAACACATTTAGTTTGCGTGTTCGGCAAATTATAGCTGTGAAGGCTAGGTAGCTGTAGCTGTGGAGGTAGTTGTTAGCTGTGTAGGTGGCTGTTAGCTGTCAATAAGTTGTTAGATGTGAAGATAAATAATTTAGATATAAGTGTTCGGTAAAGTAGCGGTTGACTAGCTCTTACATATAAAAATCAATATTTTATTTTTAAAACTATAGATTAAATTTCCAACAGCTACCTCTAATTTCAAAAGTTAATCTTTCTAGCTTTTCATAAAAGCTACCTTCACCACTAAAAGCTACTCTAACCACTACTTTGCTAAACACTCACATTTTTTGTTAAGTAGTGATTTGACCAAGTCAAACCACTAAAAGCTACTCAAAAGCTAGCGCCGAACACTTTAACTTTTCACCCAAAGCCAAAAACTAATCGCTACTTCAATTAGTTAAAAGATAAATACATGGAGTATTTATTTACCATTTACCATTTGAGAGAGTTTCTCGGGTAGAGAAACTTGAATTTTTTCAAAGATTAGCAATACAAATGATTCATTAATGGTTAAAAAAAAATACAAAATGATGATTGATTAATGTGAAAATCATACAGCAAACGTGGTGGCCGGAGCACCATAGCACCAATGCACCATAGTTAGAATACTACGTAGTCTAACAATCTTTTCTCCTGCCAAAACCCAACTCAAATCAAATCCCATTTTCTCTAGCTTTGTTGCTAATCTGGGTTTTATCTACCAAATTATCAAAAATGAGGATTCTTCAATTTATGAAGAGAAATCTCAACCCTGTTTTTCACATTACAAGAAACAATTTTGAACCAAAAATTGAAGAATTTGGTCTAAGATTTCTTCACAAAAGAGGGGTTTCCGCATTATCATCAAGTAAATTTAAGGAAGATGACTCCATTTTGCCAGTTTTGATTGTGGGTGCTGGTCCTGTTGGTTTATCTCTATCTATACTCCTCACCAAATTAGGTAAAACCCCTCTTAAACCCTTTTCTTTCTTTCTTCTATTAATTATTTGGGTGATTTGAATTAAATTGTGGTTTTTTAGTGAAAAATGATTGTATTGTATGCTTATTTTGTGTTTGGATTGGAAGTGATGAAATGGGTAATGCTAATTTGAGTGCCCATTTGGTAGTTTGGCTGTTTAAATTTTTTTTTTTTGTTGTGTGATTGAAGTTGTTTGATGATTTGGATTGTGGATTGAATGTTAATTTGATCACTGTTTATGCTGATGATTTTGAATGATGATTTTGAAATGATGATTTTGAAATGCCCCTTTGTTAGTTTTTTAGGAAAGGTGACAGTGAGATATTGTGGAAAATATTGAATTTGTGGCTCGGAGTTAGCTGTATTTCAAACTTCTGTCGCTATAATGGGATCGTTTGTGCTGTTTGGGTGGGGTTTAGATTGAAATTTTATTATTGTCAGCTGTGTTTGAGAAAACCATTGGCTGCAGCAATTATGTTCAGAAATGTGGAGGGTTTAATTGATGACAGCCTCTAAATTCACCATCAAGAAGATGTATCAGAAGATTCCACGGTAACGTAATTCCATATTCCCCTGCAAACCGAATAGGGCAAATCAATACGTTAAAGTGTTACATTTTGGCCTAATTTAACAATATTAAGAGTAAAATGTGTACTCGTACCAAATCTCGTGCTGGTCTAATTAGAGAACATTGTTTATCCGTTCCTTAGAAAAGGATCATCTGGAACATTCGCTCCAAAATCTTATTTGTGACCAGATGAGCTATTCTAGAATTCAGCCAGTGCACAGGCTCCATGGAATGCAATTTGCTATTTGGATTAAGCCTAGTTTCCTATTCTTCTGCACCTTAGATATCTTAAACTTAATTGTACTTCTAAGATTTTATAATTGCCAGTTCCATTGACCTTCTCTCTCAAAGCTAGTTATACTATAAAGGTTGACAATTATGCTAAAATTGTGCTTTTTTTGTCAAATTATTGGGATTGTGATGCATTCTTCTTCCTACAGGTGTCAGATGTGCAGTCTTAGAGAAGAACACAGCTTTTTCTAGACATCCTCAAGCTCATTTTATCAACAACAGATCCATGGAGGTAGTTTCATGGTTCATAGCATTTGGCAATATGCTTGATGTAACTCCAGATTTATAGCATCCTGAAATGCTAGTGCTGTTTTCATTTAGATTTCCTTGCCAGGTCTTCCGCAAGCTGGATTGTCTAGCTGAGGAGATCCAGCAGTTTCAACCACCTGTAGATTTGTGGAGAAAATTCATTTATTGTACATCACTATCTGGTTCTGTCCTTGGTTCAGTTGATCATATGCAACCTCAAGGTATGCTTATTTTGATGTCATAATGTAACCAAAAAATCTGATGAATGATACAAATAAAGATTGAACCAAAGACCCCATGTCTTTTCTTTTTCTAAAGAAGATGTGTCCACTATGTCTACATTATCAGCGTTAGTCTATATTTTTGGCCTAGATATGCTACTTTACTAATCTTTCTGCTTTTAGTATTGTAGGCAACATGATTTACTTGCATGGCTGTTCTAATATGCATAAAGCATCAAGCAGCTTATCATCGTGCCCTCTTTTACAGATTTGGAGCGAGTTGCTAGCCCAGTTTCCGTTGCTCATTTTTCTCAATACAAGCTAATCAGGTTACTGCTGAAGAAACTAGAAAATCTTGACTTTAAAATTCATGAAGGCGATAGAGATATTAAAGAGAGGAAGATTTTGATGGGCCACGAATGCTTGTCCTTTGCTGTGACTGATAATTGTGTTAATGTTACTTCTTCTTTTCACAAGGATGGACGGACATTAAAGAAAGATATCCAGTGTGGTTTTCTTATTGGAACAGATGGTGCGGGAAGTACAGTGAGGAAGCTTGCTGGAATAGAGATGGAAGGTGAAAGAGACTTGCAAAAGTTGGTGAGTGTGCATTTTACAAGCCAAGCCCTGGGAAGATATCTACTCAAGGAAAGACCAGGCATGCTTTTCTTTATATTCAACACTGAAGCAATTGGAGTTCTTGTTGCTCATGATCTTCAGCAAGGGGAATTTGTATTGCAGGTATTCTTGACATCATTTTCTAATTTATAGTGATTGGATGTGTGCCATCTCTTTGTTAACAACTTCTTGTATAAGCTGGCAGGTACCATATTATCCTCCACAGCAGAATCTTGAAGATTTTAGTCCCAAGGTATATTATATATACATACTTGACAAATCCTATAGATAATAGTTATAAATGGTTAAGTTGGCAATATGTGGTGTAATCATACATCCAAAGTCTAGGAACCATGACTAGATACAACCTACAGAGTCGTGGAGATATTATATGCTGTAGGAGACTTCTGAATCCACTATTTTAATAGATGTTTTGGTTTTTGTGTTCCTAGATGTGTGAGGATTTAATTTTTAAATTGGTCGGTCATGAGCTTGAAGATATAGCTGTAATCGATATTAAGCCTTGGGTAATGCATGCTGAAGTTGCTGAGAAGTTCGACTTTAATAACCAAGTCTTTCTAGCTGGTGATGCTGCTCATCGTTTTCCTCCAGCTGGTGGTTTTGGTATGAGCATATCTTCCCATTTATGCGTTTCTTGAATATCCAGTTGAAGATTCAAGGCACACTTCTGGGCCCAACTGTGCCTTGTAGTTATTTATCACTTTTCATGCTTTCTGTAGGCATGAATACTGGGATTCAGGATGCTCAAAATCTTGCTTGGAAGCTGGCAGCAGTTGTCAATGGTATTTCCCCAACCACACTTCTCAGCACATATGAAACAGAACGGAGGCCGGTATTGGCATATTTGCTTTGGTCTGCTATCTTATTTTATTACTTCTTGAGTTTCTATAGTCTTCATTTCTCATTTTTTAACCATTTTTGTCACTTGGTAGATAGCCAAATTCAACACTGCACTCAGTGTTCAGAACTTTAGAGCAGCCATGGAAGTCCCTGCTGCCCTTGGACTTGACCCTACTGTTGCAAACTCAGGTTCTCAGACTTCACAACCTTGGCAATTTTAACTTCTTTATTCATTATTTTTCTCTTAATAATGAGTCACTCTTCATGAGTTGTTTATTCTTACTTTGGCAGTTCATCGTGTAATTAATGATGGCCTCGGCTCAATTCTACCATCTGGAGCTCAGAGAGTGATTTTGGATGGGCTATTCAGTATAGGCCGAGCACAACTTTCACAAGCCATTTTGAATGATAAAAACCCAGTTGGCCTGTCAAGGCTGGCCAGATTAAAGCGTATTTTCGAAGAAGGAAAGAGCCTTCAACTCCAGTTTCCTGCCGAGGATCTTGGTTACAGGTGTTACTTCTGTTTTCAATTAGATTCTATCTTTTGTTCTGCATTCCTTGCCTCCTTGCGCATACTACAGAGGAGTTTCCAATGATTATATGTTTGAATTTGTTATCTCCAGATACAAGGAGGGTGCTCTTGTATTGGATAAAAATGTCATACATGATGCTGAAAATGTCCCCACTGGTCGTCGAAGGGATTATGTTCCATCATCAGAGCCAGGCTCACGGCTTCCCCATATGGAAGTGAAATCATTATCAAGTGTTTCTGATGAGGTATACTGGATCATTGCAGCTGATCCATTGCTTATATTTGAATTTCTTTGGTTGGTAAATAATAGTTATTCTTTATATAACCAATAGAAGTTGACTCGTTTTCACATGAAATGTGTGTTTATTTTCAACATATTGTTTGAACCTTCTTTGTATTTATACATACTGCATGTTTTGTTGCTCGTTCTCACACTTCTGCTATCCTTTTGAAGGATAACTTCTCTACATTGGACCTTGTATCGGGAGATAAAGTCGAATTTGTTCTCATAATAGCACCAGTGGAGTCTTCCTACAATCTTGCTCATGCAACACTGAAGGTAGCTGATAAACTCAAAGTTCTTGTCAAGGTATGCGTGATATGGCCATACAACCGTGCCAATAATGCCGCACCATGCTCAGTGGGGAATTACATTAACATTGTAGAAGTGAAAAAGTCCCCAAACTTGCCATCCTGGTGGGATTTGTGTGGGATGAATGATAGAGGAGCCATTCTTGTCAGGCCAGATGAGCATATTGCTTGGCGCGCAATGTCAGAGATCCGTTACCCCAGTTATGAAATGGACAAGGTTTTTTCTGTTGTTTTGGGACATGCTTATAAGAAGCCTGAAAATATTTTTGATGCACAGGTAGATTAAAGTCATTTAACAATGTTAGGGACATTGTTATAAAAGATTTGATAATAAGATTACGAAAGTTGGTATTGTCAACATATCGTACATTCCCATACCCCAAAACCCCCGTGCCAGTGTGCTAAACTTGATCGCATTTCTGAAAATGTTGTTGCTGCACTGGCTGTTTAAACAATGTATTATCATAGAAAATACGAAGTATTGTTTATGAACCAGGTTGTTCCAAGGGCGATTCTAATTTGGACTAGTATTTGCTAATAAAATTCGATGCTAACCTATGATCACATGATTCATATCTTGGATGGGTAGTTATTGAGGCCTAAAGTATATGTTTGTTTCATGAAGTGCTCAAAAGTCATCCCAATGATATTTGGTATGCTAGCATGAAGCTCTGTGACAATCATGGTAAAAATTTATTACGCATGCTATACTCCCATAAATCATTATACATAGTAATATACTTGTATACTAATAACCCCCATAACATGACTATGAAACTTCAGGTGAATGCGACGAGAAATAACTTTTTTTTCGTATGTCACCGGTAACAATATAGCAAGAACATTGATCATGTGATAATAAAAGAGGCGAGCATTGATTTTGGGACTCTTTAACATTCCATCATAATATCAAGTGTCCTCTAACATCGAGCTTAGCTCACCGGTAATATTTTTGATGATAGAACCCTAGATAGGTAATAGAGCTAAAAAGGATGCAGAACAAGTTGAGATTATGGTTATCTTATGCTTTATATTGCAATCGACTCGGCATAATTTTAATCTGCAAAGTTGAATGGAACCTGATTATCTAAACCAAATTGTAAGACCCAACTTATTCCTAAAAATCTAAATGATTCAATACCCAAAATATTAACGGGGACTAATATTAATTGATTGACATTCAAAACATCAAATAATCAACAAATCTACATAAACCTAACCAAAAATTTCTTCACCCAAGTGAAACTAAAAAAAATATAAAATATCTGAAAATAATGGTAATGCAAAGTATGAGATATTGAACACGAGATGACACTCAGTATGAGGGGAAAAAAAGGAATAATAATACAATAATACCATAACATCCAACACCACAGTTTTAACGCTGTCAAAAAAAAAAAAACAATTTAAGATTATCTTTCTGCAACAAATGCTAGATTTACAATCAATGAGAAAAGTCAAATGTATATGTTTTAGATTTTTTCTTAAAAAAAAAAAAGAAAGAAAAAAGAAAATAATGATAAAGCAGAATTGCAGAGTATGAGATATTGAACAGAAGATGACACAAAATTTTTTTTTTTTTTTTAAAAAGAGAACTACAGCTTTGTCAAAGACAGTGTCCTTGATGCAGTACATCTATTTTCCATCTAGATAGTACAATAATACCCTTACATCCAACTTCACAGCTTAGATGCATCTTTGTGCAACAAATGCTAGTTTTACTACAAATGACAAAGGTTATATGTATATCTTTTAGTTGTCTGGAAAGCTACCTTGTAGAGACTTGCAGTAGCAGACCTCGAATCTCTAACAAAACTAGTCCTCTAATGAATATGAAGAAATTAAATGTTTCTAACGAGAACAATATCAGAAATCCTTGTTTGATGCTATCAATTTTACGGACATATATGCAGGTTACAACTGGTGATGGCTTGAATTGTGATGAATGGCAATGATATCTTCTACAGTGTAATCCGAGTAGCAATGCTGATGATCATATAAATCATACTAGCTGTTATGATACCCAACAATCCACCAGCAATGACCTGTGATCATTTAGAGAATGAAACAAAAAATATTCAGCATCCTTCCATCAAGAAAATAAATGATGCGGAAATTTGATGTGAGATTTATATGATGTGCATCAGAACCTATGCCAATCAACTCTTCATATCACCTCTACAATTTGAACACATCCTTGACACTTTTGACACAAGTATGGACACTTGATGAAACACTTGGTAGAAAATCCTATGTTTGGAGTAATTATTTGTATGTGAATAACACAGACTAGAATTACACCTCAGAATTATGTTTGAAGTAAAAAGGAGACTTTTTCTTGCTTGTTCGAACATAAAAACCAGAGGCATTTTTGAACTGGTGAACCCTCTTTTATTTGCGAGGGGGTGGTGTTGGGTTGGGGGGGGGGGGGGGGAGAAGGGTGATTCAAAAAGTGAAGCCAATCCCCAGAAATTAGCATATTCAATTTCCCTTTTGCAGCTTAGTCTACTTTCTGCAAATCTTAGTCTGATATAAAATCTCAAGCCAGAAAATTGATGTGAGATTTATCTGGCATACAAATTAGATCCTATTATACTCAAATCTTCATACCATCTCTAGTATTTATATTGCATCCTTGACACTTTGACTTGAGTCCACTTGAAACTTCATTTGGACAAGAAAACCCTTTGTTTGGACACAATTATTCGAATCTGAGTAACGAAGATTAAATTATAGCTCAGAAGTATCTTTCATATTAAAAGGAGATTATTTTTTCTTGCTCGTTCAAACATACAAATCATTAATCTTTAGTCTGCAATTATATAAATGCTTTTGACCAACCTGAGGAGGAGTATGGCCAAGAAGCTCCCGCAATGGTCTACTTTCTGCAAGAGGATGTTCAGCAGGTAGTCCATACACTATCTGGTTTAGCACCTGCAGAATAAGAGTGATCAGAATGTGGTGAGAGATAAATGCTATACAAGCAAATAAATTTGTCACAATGAGAACTAGCAGGACGTGTAAAAGCAACCTCTGCTTGCCGCCCAGCATGTAATCTCACACCAGTTGCATCATACATGACCTGCGAAGAGACTAGCTTGAGTATATACGAGAATAAAAAATCTTTTTTCAACAATAATTCAGTTTCATAAAAATTAGCCTCTCAGATAACTAAAAAAGGCAAATTATTCTAATCATAAAAATTAGTTAATTGAGCCAACAGCTCACGATTATCAACACCAAAAGGTTATTCCAACAGGAGTGTTTTGGAGAAGGTAAAGATAGTTTTTCTATGGTTACTGCACCATTAAAGATGAGAGGCCAGCAAAGGTAAAAAAGACAGCAGCAAAAGAAATTTATAAGAAACAAGAGGTGCAAATCGTGCAATACATAGTTCTCAGAACAGGACACAATAACATTTAAACCTTGAAGCCAGCCATAAATTCATACAACATGCACATAGACCCTTATAAAGCTCCCCCAGCCCCCCTTTTCCCTGAATCCACCAAAAAAATATATAAAAGAAAAACAGGGGGAAAATCACCCGACTTTTCATAAGTGCCTGTTTACACAATCATCCATTCAGAAGAAGAGAGGACAGGGTAGAGCATACCACACAGGCTAAGATCAATGCAGCGGCAAAAACTGAACCTCCAAAACCATCTTGAAGCCCAATGGCAGCAGCTAGAGCTGTGACTGTGGCAGAATGGGATGACGGCATTCCACCAGAACCAATGAGCTGTTTAAGATCCCATCTTCTTTCCTTGTACCTGAAAATCTATCAAACCTTAAGCCTCTTAGGATAAAATAATATACAGGTATTCTTATCAGCATATGAAAGATAGAGTTACTGAATTAGAATAGTTCTAATCATGGAATACCTAACTATCTAACCAAAAATTGATGAAGAAAACCATGATATAAAAAAACCCCACAAAATCAATTACAAAGTATAAATAGCAATATAACATTTTGGTTGCCAGGATTGAAACCAAAATACAATATTGTAACTTCATATCTCTATCTTATGGATTGATGATGCAACTCATCAAGAGTATTTTTCTTCAAACCCTATCTATTATGCTCGTTTTATTGCTTCCTAACGAATATGATGAAGTAACTAGTCAAAACTGGCTTCTATGTGTCTATGGAGAAGACTCGTGACTCGACACACCACTTGTTCTTTAGCTGTGTTTTGTTAAGAAAGTCTATGGCAACCATAGATATTTGAGGTCTGATGGAAAATGCCAAGGACAGGGACATTCTGCTAAAACTGAGGTGGACGGTCACTACTCTGAAAGTCTGAAGCAGAGATATACTAGAAGAGGACTGAAAGGGTCTTTTAGTAAGAGGTAGAGATCACATGTAGCATTACAATAAGATGTTAGGCTATATATAAAAGAACAATTTAAGCCTATACAGTCAAACGAAGAGATACATTAAGCAATTGGAAATCTATTCCGTCAGGATCCTGACAGATTTCTGCTAAATTTTAGTGCCTTATTTCCAGGGCTGCGAGAAAATTGTACCAATGTGGCATGTGCTTAGGCAACATTGAACTAAACAATGGTTGGGCAAGGAATTTGATGCATATTTCTTTTGGCTTATAGCCTTCATAGATTCCAGTTCTTTGACAGGGAGCGGAGGCCTTCTGTCCAGGAATGTGGATATACAATGAATCTATTTGGGAAGTGTGAAGTAATTTTAATGGAAACCTTCAATTCTTCAAATAAGATGAATTAGGCATGATTGAAATGAAGGTTTGAAAAAAAAAGTTTGTGTTCTTTAAACACAGATGAAGGCTCAGGTTCTAATTTTTCTCATTGTGATTTCCATGAAGTGGATTCATCTGAAATTATCGAAAGCTATACAAACATCTTTAGACCATGGAAAGCAAGCGCTCAGGTTGATATTCAAAGAGGTTAGTGAGCTATACATCGTAATTGAAATCATTCTATCCTCAACTCATAATCTTGATAACATTTAAATTTCATCCAAACTCCTACCATTTCAATACATGCGTATTTTGAACTCCTACCATTATGTTACATGTACATTTCGATGACCAATCGAAACCACAATCACATATTCGCCTCCAGTGTCAACATTTAACCCAAAATCCCAGTAACAACCCCATATATCAGCCACAGTATCTTGAGTGATCTACGAGTGATATACTATATGACCATATCACTAAAAAATGGCAAAGAATCTGATATCATCCTTTTTCTCAACGTATATTATATGATCATTACCAACCTCGTAACTAAATTGATTCTTGATTGTAACCAACAAGCCCTCTCACGTAATTACACAGATTTCGAGCGAATGCCACGAATTGGCCCCAAATCTCAGCACGATTATTAGACCCGACTAATCCAATATTAGACCACTCAACAACTATCTAGGCCTATCATTCGCAACTATCATGCCAATTTCACACAAAAACACATTCTCTTCACCCATTTTAATTCAAGCATCAAGATAATCAAGAATGCATCAAACATCAGCTACAAATCATCAAGGTAAACTCAAATTCAAATTCAAGCAGAAAAATAATCAAGAACACCAACAATTTCCATAAAAAAAACCTAAAAAAATCCAATTTTGCGCATCGATAAAATAATTAAAAATCAAGGTCAACCCTAAATCACAAAAAACAATAACAACAAATTACAGATCCAAAATTAGCAAAAACCAAACAAAATTCAGCTAAAAAAAAGGTTAGAAAATGTACCAGGTAGTCAAGACTTTGATCGATTGAGCTAGAATAAAAGCAATAAACGCAGAAATCAGAGGAACATTGGTGAAGATTGAAGATGAATTCGAAGACGCATCAAATGAAGAAGACGAAGAAGTAGAAGGTGAAACTGGAATGTTCGACATCGTAGCCGCCATTAATGATCGAGAAAACCTCGACCCGCCATTTTCCATTGAAGGTTATGGTGATTCAATCGAAACGTTTCAGAAAATTAAGGGTTTTATTTTTTGGCTTTCTTTTTTCTTTTTACTTAGTTTGTTTTTTTTTTTTTTTGGTTTAACGCTAGTTAGGATTTATTATGGGAAGAGAAAGAGGGAGAGTAACTAACTAGAAGTCTCCTCAATCCTCAATTCCTCATAGCATAATATTGGTGGAATATTCTTTACATGCCTTGTAGTGTAAATCAACAAAACTATTGGTATCGGACTATTGACAAATAAGGAAACCTTGCCACGATTATTATGAGGTTTTTTTATTCATCAAAAAAGAATTTGAGTTGTGGATAGAGTTATGTTTAAAATTAGACAAAATTTAAGTAGTTTTAAGCTAAATATTTGAATACTCTTTTATATTTGGAAGCATTGGTTCAATAATAAGATATTCAAAAACTTAAATATAAGTAAAATTATAACAAATTTTAGGTATTGCATAATTGCATGTGGTTTATAGTTCTATTAATAAGAAAATTTTGCAAGTCGTCCGAGATTGATAATATCCTAAAACGCCCCTAATATGAGCGCGCTTGTGTCAAATCTCTTTCAATTTATAGTACTTGATGTTCTGAACTCTAAATTTGATGGAAAACTTCTTGTAGAATATAAGCTTTTGATATATTGAAAAGTGCAAAAACAACTCAATCCAAGATACATCATCGCACAACATTTTGCTATTGAACTTTCTTTCGATACAAGTAGAAGCTAATTAAACATTTGACTAAACATTTGAACTACTTATATATTTTTAGAACAAGCAATATGCCATCATTTTCTCTATGGAGTATTATACTCTCTCTCTCTCCCTCCATATGAAGGTCTCAAATTGGCAAAGAAACAATAATTGATTTTTTGAATATTAAAGAAGATTATCAATAACAAGCTAAACAACACTTAGAGTAAAAAAAAATATAATAATAAAAAATAAAAATCTATTTGTAAGATTTCAAAACAAATTTCAACTTCTATACAATTAATGTCTTTGCTTTTGCTCCACTACTATTTGGCAAAATCTTTATTATGTTTTTTTTACGGATTTTTCACCAAATGTCCATGAGTTATTTTTTTATTCACCACATATCCATGAAATTTTTCAAATTCACCATATACACTTGAGTTTTACAAAAAATCATGACATGTCCTTAATGATTAACGACAGCTAATTCTGTTTGTCATTAGGGTGAATTATGTCATGTGGCAACATGTTATTGGTTATTATTTAAATTGATTAATTATTATAAAAAAAACTTAAAAAAAACCCACTTGCCACCAACGAGCCACCTTAGCCCAACCACCTCCCCACAACCGCCACCCAACCAGGTTCCTCACTCCCGGTGCCTAGACCCCTTCCTCACCGCACTGGTGCCGCCCATCCCCTAAGCCATGCTCCAGAACCACTATACCCCCTCCCTCCTCTTCAACTCTAAAACCCCTCTCCGATTTCCCACCTTAGCCAAACATTATAAACCACCCAAAACCCGTTCGCCAGCAGCCCAAGTCCCCTCCCCGACATCGACGCCGCCTACTTGAGCCAAAACTAGCATCCTAAAACCGTTAAACCCCAAAATCAAAACCTTATGAATAAAAAACTAGGGTTTCGATTTAGGGTTTTTATTTTTTATTTTGGGGTTCCGTTGAGGTGGTTCAGGGGAAGCGACAGTTTAGGTTCGCCAGCGCAGGGCCGGCGGTGGGGAGGGGGTTTCAAAGGAGAGAGAAGGGGGCGGTTTTAGGTTTAAGGAATGGGTGGTTCAAGGGTTCCAGCAAGTGGGGTGTCAGATTGGCGGTGGCGCCGGCGCGGGGGTTTAGGCGAAATCCTCACCAGCAGGGACAAGTTGGCGGGCGGGAGTGGCGGGACTGGGCTGGTGGAAGGTGGGTTTTTATTTTTTATTTGTTTTATTTTTTTAATAATTAATTAAATATTTATTTTAAAATTAATTAAAATAATATAAATGACAACCTATCATAAGCTGCCACGTGGCAAATTAAGGCCTCGTTTTTTAGAGTTGTTCTGCTCTACTTTGCTCTCTACTCTATTTTTAAATAATAATTTATAATAACAATAATAATAATTACTAATATTAAAAATAATTATAATAATTATTAATTTAATAATAATTATTATTATTATTTTCAATAATAATAATTAATAATTCAAAATATTAAGAATTGATATTTAATAATATTATTAAGTAATAATTTCTAATAATTATAAAAAAAATTCAAAAAAAAATATAATAATAATAAATAATAAATAATATTTTTTTTTGAAATAAAAATAATAACAATTTCTACTATTTACCTAGAATAATAATAACAACAGTTAATATTTTTTTTAGGGAATTGTAATAATAAATATTTTTTTTTTTTTTTTTGTGGAAAAGCAATACTTAATATTTTATAATAATACTAAATAAATAATTTTATTTAATAATAATAACCAATATGGTATAAAAAGAATAAAAAAAACTGCAAAAAAGTTGTGTGCTTTAAAATATGTGATAACAACGAAGATCAAAGCAACAATGAAGATGATAACAACGAAGATTAAAGCGACAATGAAGATGATAACAACGAAGATCAAAGCGACAATGAAGATGATGAAAATGACGATCATATGGAAGTAGATGGTTAATTCACCACGATGTTAAACTCTTATCTAATTATGTTTCTATTTTGATATGCGGTTGTAATAATTTGAAGATGTTAAACTATTATCTTTTATCTTTCTACTATTAACATATGTTAAATATGGTACACATTTATTTATGTTTTCACTAACCTAAATCAATTGTATATGCACTTAATAATAGTAATAATAATCATAATAAAATTAATAATGATAATAAATATAATAATAACAATAACAATAATATAATAATAATTTCTTGTAAATTGATTGACTTTGTAGGTTTTTTGATATTTATATAATAATAATGATAATAATAATAATAATAACAACAACAACAACAATAATAATGATGTCGAAATCTGCTATGCTCGGCTCGGCTTTGCTCTTTATCCTGAAATCTGCTCTGCTGAAATCTAATATGCTCTGCTGACCCCTGCTTTGCTCTGCCCAGGCCAGAAGCTCAAAAGAATAGGGCCTAAGCCTATTTTTTTTTTTTGTAAAATTAGGGGCATATGGTGAATATGAAAATTTTCATGGGTATATGGTCAATAAAAAATAACTCAGGGCTATTTGGTGAAAAATCCATTTTCTTTTAATCATAGGTGTAAAAAACACATGTTTCAATGAAAATCTACAATACAATCAATATATAAAAGATAAAAACAAGGGAATATATATTTCCAAATTGTCAATTTTGTAAACCGATAAACAAGGATCTAAAGGGAGTACGTAGCTAAATCCATATCAATGACAGGAGAACAAACTATCAAATTTCGTTGGCATCATTAGCCAGTGTAGCTCCTTTTATATATAATAAAATAATACAGTAATTAAAAAAAGTGGTACTTATTATCATATTAAACTATGAAAGCCCTAATAAAATAAAATAATACATTGATGGACGACGCTAGGGTTTTGAAACATAGATATATAGTAACATTGAAAGTTCACTAATTCAATTAAAAAAAAAATTCATTAGGTAGGATTCAAAATTATGTTAATAATATGTAATGAGTATCTTTATTTTTTTGTGAAATAATGCTATACTTATACTTGTATGTATATAGTGAAAAAACTTAAATGAACAAAGTAGACTTTGTTCACTTCATCTTATTTTTGTTAAACTAATTTACTTATTTTTAAATGAAATGAACTGTTATGATAATATCTAAATATGGATGACTATTATCCCATGTACATTATATATATTCAGTACTAGATGGAATATGAAATACAACGTAACAATCTTCCCTCATCTCTCTTTAATTTCTCTTCCATATTTAACACGTTATCAGCACCATTGCTAGTCAACTGAGTAGGATTACCAAACATTTTTCTAGAATCCCATATTATTATTATTATCATGTAAGTATGATCGTAGCCCATAACAATTATAATTTAACATTTATCTAATTTTGCATGCTTATTTATTGGAATATCAACATATATAATGAATACAGAGCATGATAAATAATTTAAGGTTCCATTCTTATTTTTCTCCATGCTAACGTTCTCATCTTCTATTTCGTTCTTATTTATGCATGACTTGTATCAGGATTATTTATGCATGATTATAACGTTTAGTACATATTTTGGATACTATTTATATATACTTATCTTTTAATATTATTTTGTATAGTGAAAAATGTCGAACCTTGCCAAGCTCGAATTTGTGGCCCTTGATATTACCGGAAAGAATTATTTATCATGGGTGTTAGATGCTGAAATACACCTAGATGCTAAAGGGCTTGGTGAAACAATAAAAGAGGCTAATAAGGCAATACCTCAAGATAAGGCTAAAGCCATGATTTTTCTTCGCCATCACCTCCATGAAGGGCTCAAAAATGAATATTTAACTGTGAAAGACCCACAAATCCTTTGGAGTAATCTAAAGGAAAGGTATGACCACCAAAAAACAGTGATACTCCCTAGAGCTTGTTATGAATGGGTGAATTTGAGATTGCAAGATTTTAAATCTGTTAGTGAATATAACTCAGATATGTTTAAAATAACTTCTCAATTGAAATTATGTGGAGAAAATATTACTGATGCATAAATGCTTAAAAAGACATACTCCACTTTGCATGCTAATAATATTGTCCTGCAGACACAATATAGAGAAAAAGGTTTTAAAAAATATTATGTATTAATATCTTGTCTTCTTGTGGCTGAGCAAAATAACGAGCTGTTAATGAAAAATCATGAATCACGTCCTACTGGCTCTACTCCATTCCCTGAAGCGAATGTGACAACCCATAACGGGAAAGAAACTAAAAACAGAGACCATTTCAGCAGTAGTGGCCGAGGTAGAGGTCGTGGTCGTGGCCAATGGCGCGGCCGGGGTCGTGGACGTGGATATGGTAGAGGTCGTGGAGGTCATTTCACAAACTCACATTCCCACCACAAGTGGGAACGTAGGGATGAAGGTCATTGGTCTCGGGTTTGTAGAACTCCAAAGCATCTTATTGAACTTTACCAAGAATCATTGAAGAAAGGAAAGAAAGTTGAGGCAAACCTTGTTCTTGAAGATGGTGAAGGTGATTTTGATTTTGGCAATGCCAATCAATTTGATGTTGGTGATTTCCTTACTTCCCCGGAAGGGAATAATTTTGATTTTGGCAGTACAACTCATTTAGAAGTTGTCGATTTCTTCACTGCCCCAGAAGGGAATAATTAAAATTATATTGTTTTATGTTAGTTTTAAGTATTAGACTTATTTTTGCTTATTCTAGTGATTTATTTAAGTTTATTTCTTTCGTTGTAATAAGGATTTTTGCTTTATAAATTTATGAACTATTTAAGTGTTTTTATTGATTTATTTGTTTTATCATCTTTATTTTTATGCTTAATATTTTGACATGTATTTTATTTCATGAAGAACATGGATATTACTCAAGTTCAATTTGCTATGAATGGTGAAGAATTATGTCATGCTGACAGTGCAACTACACATACAATACTTAAAAATAAAAATATTTCTCTCATTTGATGATGAAAAGGATTAATGTAAGTACCATATCGGGTAGTACAAATATCATTGAGGGCTCCGGAAGAGCCACCATAAAGTTGCCTTGGGGAACTGAAATTAAAATAATTGATGCTTTATACTCCCCATTGTCTCAGAGAAATTTATTAAGTTTTAAGGATATTCGCAACAATGGTTATCATATTGAGACAATCAATGAAGAAAATAACGAATTCCTTCAAATCACAAATATAAATCAAGGCTCAAAACATGTTTTGGAGAAACTACCAACATTCTCTAGTGGTTTGTAATACACAAAAATCAATGCTATTGAAGCTCATGCTATAGTAAACCAGAAGTTTACTGATGATTTTGTTGTTTGGCATGACCGGTTAGGCCATCCCGGTTTAATAATGATGCGAAAAATAATTACGAATTCATGTGGACATTCTTTGAAGAGCCAGCAGATTTTTCATAATAATTTTTCATGTGCTGCACCATCACCAGCAGATTCTTCGGAAGGCAAGTTGATTATTCGCCCATCACCAGCTAAAATTAATTTTGAATCAATTAGTTTTCTGGAACGTATACAAGGAGATATTTGTAGGCCCATACATCCCCCATGTGGACCATTTAGATATTTTATGGTTTTAATTGATGCATCAACTAGATGGTCACATGTGTCTTTGTTATCAACTCGTAACCTGGCGTTTGCGAGATTACTTGCCCAATTGATTAAGTTACGGGCACATTTTCCAGTTACTCCCATTAAGACTATTCGGCTTGACAATGTTGGTGATATTACATGTCAAGCTTTTAATGATTATTGCATGTCCATTGGGATAAATGTTGAACATCCTGTAGCACATGTTCATACACAAAACGGTCTGGCAGAGACATTAATAAAACGTATTCAGTTAATTGCTAAACCATTGCTTATGAAATCCAATCTCCCAATTTCTGCTTGGGGACATGCTATATTACATGCAACAACACTAATTCGCATTAGGTCAACAAGTTATCACAAGTTCTCCCCATTACAATTGGTTTATGGTCAGGAACCAAATATTTCCCATCTAAGAATTTTTGGATGTGCGGTTTATGTTCCAATAGCTCCACCACAACGCACTAAGATGGGTCCTCAAAGGAGGTTAGGGATATATGTTGGGTTTGAATCCCCGTCAATAATTAAATATCTTGAGCCTACAACAGGGGATTTATTTACGGCTCGTTTTGCAGATTGTCATTTTAACGAGTCACATTTCCCAACATTAGGGGGAGAAAAGAGAGAGCTGGAAAATGAAATTAAATGGAATGAATTATCATTATCCTATCTTGATCCTCGAACTAAACAATGTGAACTGGAAGTTCAAAAGATAATTCATTTACAAAGTTTAGCGAATCAATTGCCAGACTCGTTTGCTGACCCAAAAAGAGTGACCAAGTCACATATTCCAGCTGTTAATGCTCCATTTAAAATAGATGTCCCGGAAGTAATGAAGTAAAGAAGGCTAATAATAACAATAATGATAATAATAATAATAGTTTTTCTTGAAAACAATAATTTTTTTTTTGAGGCCACAATAATTTGAAAATTACAATAATTGTACTATGTTTCAAAATAAAATCTTGATAATGATTACTATGTAATTAGTAGTAAAATAAGTTATCTAATCTTGTCCAGTTTACTCTAAATGTGATATAAGTTGATGTGATTTGATCATATATTATATACTTGTATAAGATTTTATATGAAATTATGTTTTCCAATGAAATGTACTCCTAATAATTTTCATACTGATGTATTCTAATTTTTATGATTTGAATCGATGATCCAAATACTTTATAATAAAAAAAGGGAGGTGTTAAATACCGCCATTCAAAATGATCAAAACCGCCAACATTTAGTGTGAATTGACAACCATACCCTTAGTATTTCACCACCATCTTCCCTCTTGCCACCAATCACGAACACCTTGACACCACCTCCCAATTGACGACTAACACCACCACCACACTGACCGGCGATGACGACCACCACCACACCACCCTGCCGGCGACCCACCACATCCCCCTTAAAGAAGACCCACCACATCGTGCACCAACCGGAGCTCAAAACCGGTTACCGGGCACGATAACCGATTTTGGACTCCGGTTACCATGGAATCGGTTAAGGTGCACGATACCAAAGCCCAAAACTAGTTACCGTGCGTGGTAACCGGAGCCCAAAATCGGTTACCGTGGACGATAACCGGAGCCCAAAACCGGTTAGTGCACGATAATCGGTTTTGGGCTCCGGTTATCGCTCACGGTAACCGATTTTGGGCTCCGGTTACCGCAGTTGCCTGAAATAAAAAAAAATATATTAAACCACCACCTTCCCGCTGGCGAGGGAAGGTGGTGGGTCATCATAGAGGAGGGTATGGTGGGTAGCCGATCAGGGTGGTGGTGGTCATCGCCGAGAGGATAAGGGGTGGTGAAGTAATAAGGGTACGATTGTCCATTCACACCGAATGTTGGCGGTGGTGATCATTTTTATTGGCGGTGTTTAGCAATTCACTAAAAGAATTTATATAATAAGGTGAAGTAATGATTTTTTTTTTTAATTTTTATAAAAAATTATTGGGTCTTTAGTAGTTATTACCATATCCATAAACACATTTTTTTTCAAATGGCCTAAATTGAATATTATTATTAGAAAGATATTGTCGAAATTTTATTAATATCAAAATTTTTTAAAAAATGTTTATTTATTTAAATTTGTATTATTAGTATAGTTGGGTCGATGTGAAGTAGTGATTTTTTTTTTTTAATTTTTATAAAAAATTATTGGGTCTTTAGTAGTTATTACCATATCCATAAACACATTTTTTTCAAATGGCCTAAATTGCATATTATTATTAGAAAGATATTGTCGAAATTTTATTAATATCAAAATTTTTTAAAAAAATGTTTATTTATTTAAATTTGTATTATTAGTATAGTTGGGTCGACGTGCACTCGTGAAATTTGCAAATTCAAAGGTTCTCCGGTTCTCTCTCTCTCCCTCACACTCCCACATTCCATCATTCTTCTCTCTCCAATTTTTAGGGTTTTTTCTTCATCAATCTTCTCATTCTTTTTCACATTTTCTCTTGTTCTTTATCTCTGGTAATCCCCTTTTCCTTTTAAGCTTCATTTCTCTAATTTCTGCACCATTTTCCGGTTTGAATTCTGGGTTTTTATAGATTGTTTATTAGAGTTTTAATCATTATGGGATTGCATTTTGTGTTTAGTTTCATAAATGTGGTATCTTTTTGCTTGATTACGTCACATTGAATATATAATTTGTTTATAATTTGTGTGGTGTGGTTGAATTTGGTGCAAAATTGCTTTAACTGGGTTGAATGTTTGGTCTAATTTGGATTTCAGTTTGTATGTAAATGAATTTTGATGTAGGATTTAATCTATGATTGTGATATTAAAACCCAACTAACCCAAATGATGATCTGAAAGTCCTTAAGATCTTTAAAATTTCTCTATGATATGCATTTTAAGCATGTTGTGGTGTTAATTTTCAATTTAATTCTCCCATAATATGATCCACATTTGGGTGGTTTGTTTTATTGCGACAGTATTTCACTATTTTGATATCAATTGTATTAATGAACCCGGATCCTGGATCGTTTAACGCAATGAATTGTGAATTATTGTTTTGGTCACTACTCTTCCTTTCCTCTTTAAAAGGGCACATTTGGTTTGAGCTTGTTAGAGGTTATTTTTAAAGGAATATCAATTACCCTTGATAGTTTTTACAAATGTTGAGGAGAAGCATCTATTCATGATACTAGTTGTCTGATTCTAAAATTGAAGGAGTAATATGGTAAAATTTATAATTAAACATATGAGATATGAAGAGTGATCTATAAAACTTAGATGTAGGTAGTATTCTTATTAGTATATTGTGGACAATTCTTGTTGTTGAGAACTTAAATACATTTGGATTGTTAACATTATTGTTTGTAAAACAGAATTGGATATGTTTTAAAATTCTGATTTTTTGTTAGAAAACTTAAATTTGCCATCGAGGATATTTATTAGACCTTTATATGTCTTTGATCAGATAATTGAAGATGGCAGATGGTGAGGATATTCAGCCCCTTGTTTGTGACAATGGAACTGGAATGGTTAAGGTAAATTCTTTTCTATGAATGAGCTACACCTGTGCTTTCATGAACGGAGGCTCTTAGTGTGCTATTTATTTATTTATGACGAGAACTATTTCATGGCATGGTTAAGTATGAGGGGTGGACTGTGGACTTTGCCATGTTAAAAGATTTTATTGGCTTGATTGGATATGTTAGTTTTAGGATAGGAAATTAAGCAGTACACCCTGTCATCTGTGTACTTTGGTCAGGGACTTGCAGCGGTGGTTCTTTGGTATAAATGTCTTTAACTGTGCCGTCCATTTGTATTTCTATTCATTTGCAATTCATTCATCTAAATACTCAATGTAGGCTGGATTTGCTGGGGATGATGCTCCAAGAGCTGTGTTCCCTAGCATTGTTGGCCGCCCCCGTCACACTGGTGTGATGGTTGGCATGGGCCAAAAAGATGCATATGTGGGGGATGAAGCTCAATCAAAGCGTGGAATTTTGACCCTGAAATATCCAATTGAGCATGGTATAGTCAGCAACTGGGATGACATGGAAAAGATATGGCATCATACCTTCTATAACGAGCTCCGTGTTGCTCCAGAAGAGCACCCTGTTCTCCTCACTGAAGCCCCTCTCAATCCTAAGGCTAATCGTGAAAAGATGACTCAAATCATGTTCGAGACTTTCAATGCTCCTGCTATGTATGTTGCAATTCAGGCTGTTCTTTCACTGTATGCTAGTGGTCGTACAACTGGTAAGAACCCTGTATGATCTAAGCTTTACTTTTAAATTAGCTTCAGTCTTTTGAAAGGTTACCTTTTATTTGTGTTGCTTCTAATAGATGATGCTTTTTTGGGGTATCAGGCCATTTATCTGGATAAGTTGATAGTTGGATTAGGAAGCCACTATGGATAGATTCTGATTGATATTGTAGTTTGTATGTAGAAAGGTCCTCTAAAAAAAGTACGTTCTGTTGGACCATTTTTTCCAATTTTGGCCCTTTGCTGCCAGCCGCCGATATAGGCCTAGGAGTATCATGTATTTTCCTCCCCTTCCCATCAAAATGAAAAACTTTGTTCTTAATGACTTGGTCATTGATTAAGTTTACTCTTTATGCTCTTTTCTATAGATATTGATTTGATGCCAAATTATTTACTGTGTATGTTATTGCAGGTATTGTGCTGGATTCTGGAGATGGTGTCAGCCACACAGTGCCCATCTATGAAGGGTATGCTCTCCCGCATGCCATTCTTCGTCTTGACCTTGCTGGCCGAGATCTGACAGACTACATGATGAAGATTCTGACTGAACGTGGTTACTCTTTCACCACCTCAGCTGAGCGAGAAATTGTGAGGGACATGAAAGAAAAGCTTGCTTATATTGCCCTTGACTATGAGCAGGAGATGGAGACTGCAAAAACTAGCTCTGCTGTTGAGAAGAGTTATGAGCTTCCTGATGGGCAGGTGATTACTATTGGTGGTGAGAGATTCAGATGTCCTGAGGTCCTTTTCCAACCATCTTTCATTGGAATGGAAGCAGCTGGTATCCATGAAACCACCTATAATTCGATCATGAAATGTGATGTGGATATCAGGAAAGACTTGTATGGAAACATTGTACTCAGTGGTGGTACCACCATGTTCCCTGGTATTGCCGATAGAATGAGCAAGGAAATCACTGCACTAGCTCCAAGCAGCATGAAAATCAAGGTTGTGGCACCACCTGAGAGAAAATACAGTGTTTGGATCGGTGGGTCTATCTTGGCATCTCTGAGCACCTTCCAGCAGGTTTGTTTCTTTGTTTTGATCTTTTCAATCATTGTGAAATCTGAATCTTGCTTTTGGAATTTTGACATTTGCCTGTTTTTCCTGCAACTACAGATGTGGATTGCAAAGGCCGAGTATGATGAATCTGGTCCATCAATCGTGCATAGGAAGTGCTTCTAACTTCACCGTCAAAGATAAAGGTTGAAGTGAGAAACCATTGCCGTTTGTTTGGAAGAGGGGGTGTGCCTTGCACCTGATTTTGATTGGCGAGCCAAATTAGTTTGATTATTTAGTTGTTATTCTATTGTTTAGTTATCTTTTGGGACAAGTATCTTGAACGTGCAAGAAAAGTAATTTATATAAATTCATTTTCTAAACCTCTTGCTTTTCTGGTTTAATTTTACACCATCAGATAGTGTATTATGAGTATTCCTTGAAGCCGATTTTGCTATTCCACATTGACTTAGGCTTTGAAACAGACTCTTTTGCTGCCCTAATGAACTTATAACAAATCGCATGAACGGTAATCATGCTGATCTTAAAATTTGAAATTAATTTGTTTGAAAAGTTAAAGTACTCGTCGAAATTTTAAAACTCAAATCATATACTGTTGCAAATCAAGTTCCCTAAACTACTTGAAATTGGACAAGGTAACAACACCAAACAATTTAATCAAACAAAAACGTGAATAAAAGTATTTAATGTAGATAAAACCTCCTGGTTAAGGTGCGAAAAACATAACTGTTTCAATATCAACAAGTGTGTTACATAAGCCTAGTTAAACACCAATAACTCATACTCCGTATAATACTTTTAATCTATTACTATTGAGCATCACCATGGTAATAGACACAAGCTAAAAACATTTTACTTGTGGATTGCATTATCCATCATAGGAGGATACACTACAAGATGAACTCCCATCTTCCCTGGCTTGAGGTGCACCCCAATTATTCTTCGTCATAGAGGTTTTGGAAGTTCAAATCCTACTTCTGCTAGGTGACTACGAAAGTTTAACTTACCAAAAACTGACACTATTTTACTAATACAAACTATGGGGTGTAAAACAAGGCTCTCTGCTGCTGTATTTGTCAGAAGCTTTGAATCCTGCTGCCTTCTGTAATGCTAATGTACAGGGGGACTGACGTCGTACCTCTATTAAAGTATTGATCGATCATACTGCTGCACACTTATCATGGAACTGATCACTGACATAGTTCCTGCCCCTACACTTCATTTGTAGTCTTGATCTCAATGGATGGACAGTATAATACTGTACATGATAATTTCGGAATAAGATTATGTGCAATCATGCCACAAGAGTCCAGATGTTTGATCTTGTACCAGCAGAATCATCCAGATCTATTTTGTCAAACCTATGTGACAACATCTATGTTCCGTCCTTCCCTACAAAATTAATGAGCTCCAGTTTTGCTGCTTCCATTACTGCATTAAAGTCTACATTTGTATATCTTCCCCTGCAACCCAAAAATGATAAGCAGCTTAAGATTTATAATAAATTATTATGCGGCTCTTTAAGGCACCATTGCTAGCATAGCCAACCAACTCCCCCCCCCCCAAGTTGCTTCGTATTTTTAAATCAAAAGTAATGGTCTATATTATTCTATTCAGTCTAGATGGGAGCACAATATGAAACTTATGAAAAAAACGAACAAAGTAAAAATTATCGTAAATTGACCTATTAGGTGTATAAACGAGGGCAGTGTTCTCCAAGTTTACAGAATATAAAGAGTTGCTAGAGTCAGAGTGTGAGGCTTCAGGGTAAAAGTTCACAGGAATCAGACAGAGAGAAAAGGAACAAAAAAATAGTAACAAATTAGCTAATAACCTAATGCTCAGCCACCTTATGAACATTTTAAGGCCACATTGTTGGTTTACTGACTCAGGGTAATAGCTACATTGTCGTCAGAGGGTTCTTACTTGGAGTAACATATCTTTTCTAATAAAACCATGATTCCACTTAATGATAATTGAACCAATGCAATTACATTCTTAGCTCCGCCACTGGAAAATGGAGACCAGTAAGACTGAGGGAAATTCCTAGATTTTTTGAGGCATGGATTTGCAAACAGTAATGCTTACCAGAAATGAGTCTTTGACCAGTTTGAAGAAGGATAAGCTGGGCTAGCAATGCCATGCATTATTCTAGCAACTGCACGTGGGGTGAATTTGGTTCCTGAGCCTTGTAGAAAGACCTATTTTGCCAATTTACCAAAGGTAGAATAAAGTTCAAAAGACAGATAGTTGCCTTAAACACCAAAAAAATTTAAAGTACCAAACTGATTGTTACCTTAATATCTGCTCGAAGAAATGGGCTGCACAAATTTACATTGCTGATCAGTATATATATCAAAAAGTACTAAAATAACAAGACTTTCATGCTTTCGGGGAAGTTTCTAGTTTTAGGCAAAGCAACTAGGCATTTAAACATCTTACTTGAAGATTTGTATTACAAAATCTGATTTGCAAGGATCAATTATACTAATTTAAGTCTGACAATTCAGCTAAAATTAAATCTGCCGACAATAGTTACAAGTTTCAAATCACATTTAATTTGATTAGACAAAATCTTGAACCAGCACAGGTGAATAAATGCAAGTTTAAAAAAGCAGAATATTTAGCTGTTAGGCAGATTATCTCCATACAGAATAACCTGGATTAAAATAGATTTAGGTTAAAAATAAGTTGGAAGCAATCCAGCTGTATATTCATGTACGTATAATATGCTCACAACATACATAAAATTTCGAGTCTTCAGCAATTTAATTAAGAAAAAATAGCACTGGAAGACTGAGTAAGATATAAATCTGATAGGGACTCAAGATAACTAGATGATGAAAGGAGGGAATATCTTATACATAGTGGATGCCAAATATCAAGTGATGCTGCATTGCTGCAACCAGCTATTTGGCTCTTATTCCAAGTTATTGAAACATCAATTATCCTGACTACTAGTCCATCAACATATACCAAAGGCATATTCAGCTATACCAAGATTCGGCAAAAAGTTATTAAGTGGTCTTCTAGCAGAGTAAAGTGAATCAGAGGAGGATTAAGACTTAACAAAGATGATAATCATTATATACAGCTCTTATAAAAGCTAATTCTGTGGCTTCTACATACAAAAAAGATGACACAATCATTAATCATACACTATGTTATTTTCCATCTTTGGCTTAACTATTAATGGTAGGATATACTACAATAAAATCGTATATACCTGTTTTGCTTGATCTTTGTGGGATATACACTGAGATTTTCTTCAGTAAAGTATTCTAAAATCATCCTCTGCAAACATGTTGTGTGCTGGACGACATCACAGCCATGTGCCCTTTCACATGAATTTACAGCAAAGGTTGCAGAATTGAACATCACATCTAATTTGCGGACCTATTTATCAGAAAAATGCAAATTATATGTAAAACATATATTAATAACTGGAAATTTTAATATTTTTCAATGGATTGATCACTGATGCAGGAACAATTATTTTTACCAAGGAGTTAAGCTGCACGGGGAATAGTATTAAACCTCCACATTCCCCACCCCCACCCCCCATCCTTCTAAAGAGAAGGAAACTATTAATCAAGTAAACAATTTCCTGTACGGTTTCATTTTACAACTCTGTTGGTGTATGCCATCATGTAGCACTTTTAAGAGCAGTTTTTTGTCCTAAAAAGTAAAAACTAGTGGAATTTAAAATATACAAGTCACAAAAATGTAAAATATAACCAGAGCAAGTCTGTCTTTACCGTGTAGGCAGGGATGTAAAAAAGCTGCAGCTTTAAAGATTGATAACTAGGTAAGTAGGTATATAGTATATACTTGCAAGAAAGAAGAAATCAAACAGCAAGTTTAATGATGCAAGTTTCCAAGCTCAAAACAAACCATTAGCATCTTGAGTTATCCCTGTAGGTTAAAGAGATGGGACTACTCTCTCTCTCTCCCTCTCTTTTTTTGGAAGGAGGGGGGGGGGGGGAATGAAAAACCTTAGATATAATAAAAAAATAACATAAAAAGAAGAGTACAACAGATAGTATTGCAAATACCTTACAACATTCAATTTCTGACAGCCATTTGGTCATCTGGGTTGCCAGAGAGCACAAGTCCTCAGGAACATGTATAATGATGTAGCAGTACCCAGGATCCTTCAATTCATATGTTATTTCTCCCATAGACTGAAATGCAACAAAGACTAACTTATTACCTCAGACAATAATTTGTGTTTTGGAATTTGAATACAACTTTAGTCACATAGTTTTTGATAAAAACTGTAATAACCCATTGCAATCCACCGTGGATGGTTTTAATAGTTAGCTAAACCCCACCCAATCAATCGGAAATGATTGTAATAGTCAACTGACAGCTAGTGTGACTTAGTAAAATCTCTACACATGCCTGTTTTGCTGCTTTGGGATGACTTAAAATCTTTGTTTCCAATCCAAGTAATGACTGAAGGCTTGGTGATTCTTGCATACATATTTGTGTCATGGTCTCCGTAAATTGAAAGTTTAAAAAAGCTAAAAGCTTATTTAACTCTGCAGCTTTATAATTTCTGAACTATACTTTTCTTAATTAATTGGCTTTTCACTTGATTTATGACATTCAGATTCGATAACCAAGTATCAGATATGGACATGTATCCAAGAACTAATATCTACACTTAATAAAGTTTTTGAATCCTTTCCACTCAAAATAAAATGTTTACATTGATATTGCAAAATAAAGAGACTAAGTAACACAGCTTTCACTGTAAGTTGTTCTAAAGGTTCTATGTTCATAACTTCACATACACTTCAATTAATGAGCCAAAAAATATATGACTATCACCCAAATAAAACCATTAGCCTGGCACAAAACACAAAGCTTCTCCCAGTAACAAGACTAATAACAAATTCAAGCAGCTACCCTTGCTATTGCAGAAAGTTATTTGTGTTGGCCCCCAGATAGAAATCTATTAGTTGTTGCTGCTTCTTAATAAAAAGGAATGAAGTAGAGATAAGTTAAAAACTATGCAGTTCAGTACAAACCAAAGATAAAATATTCCCAGTTGTACTATCTACATTTGCTTAAAATAGACTGTCAACAGCATATTTACCATTAAAAATTATAATAGGGAAATTGCATCCAGACCTTAAGATTTTGCAGCTGATTCAGAAATTCCACTGCTGTATGACCAATAGCATTTGCGACAGTGGGAATGTCAAACACATGTAGCCCATGCTTAGTGTCAGACCTGAAAATATTACAGCATTGAGTACAAATTCACGAGCAAAAAAATGAAATAAGCCATTTTTTTTTTTCTAGTAAATAGAGCATACTTGTTCAAAATTCCTCCAATTAGAGGGTATTTGGCAGCTAATTCCATAGGAGGAGTCTGCATTGACACAAGCACACAATATACAGATGTCAATTGTCAAGAAAATATATAATATACAGATGCTAATTCCATAGGAAGAGTCTGTATGAACTATGACAAGATTGATCACCAGTATGGTGCTCTTGTTACTCAAACTAACATGTCATATGATTTCTTTTCACTGGACACAAATCCGGGTAAGCGAACTAAGGCAACACTACAAGCTAAGAGACTAGAATCAACCTTATGAAAATTCAAGCTGCAAGTAACATTCATTTGTGGTAGAAGAAGCAAGTACTGAACTTCACCTAATTCCAATTGCGTTAAAATTGTTAGAATCACCTGAAATATTCAGCAGCAAACCACTCAAATCATCTGTCAAATAGTACTAAACAAAGGACAATGGTTTTTACATTTAAAGCCCTCATAAGCAAACCCACAACTCTAGCAAGATGGTCAAATTGAACAGTCAGATGGGTTTCCTTTTGTGTATTATAAAATAAATTAAAATGAGGTAGAAGGAAGGAACATACATCTTCTTTGATGTCAAATCTACGAGATGCAGATTCTTTGACCAGTGAATGAATTTTTCCGTTCGGTCTTGTATCATGGTTAAAAATTTCACAAAGAAGTTTATTTACAGCATATTCATCCACACCATCACTGCCATATGAAGAATATTATCAAATAAATAACACTTCCTCTTATAATTTGGAAGAATTAATAATGATCACCTATAGCATAATGACAACACCTGTACATAAGACTGCGCAGCCTAAAATAACTGGAGTCATCAAAGAGGAGATGACAATATGATAACCTCCCATCACGTCCAGCACGTCCGATCTCCTAAATAAGCAATATGAGTATCATCAGTATTTGCAAGTTGCATTGACACTTTTGACAGTAGCACTACTGGTAGAGCAAAAGAAAACACCTGAACATACTCTTCCAAGCTTTCTGGCAGACTGTAATGAATGACCTGAAACAGAAACGAACCTCTAAAAGTCATCCTGATGAACACAAAGGGGTTCCCAAAATAAGACTTTCTTTGTTTCAGGATTGTTTTTCCAATGCTCTGTTTCTCTCCAGAAAACACTTCATGTCATCGTGTTATGTTAACTAGAATACACAGGACTCTCTTATAAAATTATAATCACAATACTAATAGGTCAGCCTAATGAACACAATACACTTGCATGACCATAACACTATCATTTGAATTACTCCCTTGTATTTTGTTCTGGATACAGTACTGAAACATTAGGTAAATAAATAGAGTAGTTCATAAGTGAGACTTTCTTACAGCTCCAACATCACTTTTGTCAAGCCCCATCCCAAATGCCACAGTTGCAACAACCTAGCATTAAAATAAAACAGATAATATAAGCCTAGATGAACTAAATGACAAGACTACAACCATTGAAATAATGTCGGCAAATGATATGTTACCACTCTGAGCTTGTTGGAACAAAATAATGCTTGGACACGACTACGATCTTTTGCCAGCATGCCACTGTGATAACTCTAAAAAGTTATCAAATATGTACTAGTCACTTATTAGTTTTTACAAAAAAGAATCCAGTATAAGTTGAAGTGAATGGACTAACCGATTTTTCTACTCACCATTGCACGAATATTGTAATCACTTAAGTATTTACTGATCATGTCCGTCTCCAACTGCACCAGGAGAGAGAGAGAGAGAGAGAGGGGGGGGGGGGCGGGAGACAGAATGTCAAGATACATGTTTTCTAAAGAACAAGGAACACATGCTTGTCTATTTAATGAATACCCATTATAAATGCAGGCATGCAGCAGAATTTGCTATGATAAGACAGATACATTTCATGAAGTAAGCTAAAACTTCAAGCCATTTTAATACACTAGGAGATGCTCTTTAGTAGTCAGTAGTATCTGGTATAAGCTTTATCATCATCAAAAATATGAGATAGCGTTACCAAGTACCTGAAATTTGCAGTAAATTATGATGCTCTTGAGTTCAGAATATGGCGATGACTTGATTATTGCAATCAAATCTTTAATCCTGCCCAGCCAGCACAATGACACATGTTACACATTATACAACTGTTGATCAGGTAAAGTACGCAATATTAGAGGCATTGCGATATACATACTTGCTATTTCCACATAGAGACACAGACAACTGCAAATTGTTCCTAAGCTGATGAGTCTTCACCAGATTACATGAGGAAATGTCCAAAGCGTGCATTACTGCATCCAGTGTTTTCTTCGTTGCTGTTGCGGTCATTGCCAGTATGCATCCAGCTTTCAGTTGATCACGGAGTACAGACGCCCTTAGCCTCATGTATGAAGGCCGAAAATTGTGGGACCTGAGGTAGCACATGTCAGAGAAATGAGCTGCAAATTTATTAAGTAAATATCAAACAACAAAGAATAAGGAATCCTTAAGCCACTGACCATTCAGATACACAATGAGCTTCATCAATCACTATAAGTGATATCAATGAGCAAGAGGAAATGATTGACATGAACTCTTCATTCAGAAACCTCTCTGGTGAAACAAAAAGCACCTGAATTATACCAAAGAACAGCTTTAGCTGCTACTCATATCATAATAGAGTGAACATACTAAGCTGACTTATTAACTCTAGCCATCTTTACACACTCCATCAGTTCGAAATAAGATGAATCCAAAGTTTTAGACAACAGTCTCAAAACACATCAAATGAAAGTCTTTTACTGCAATTTGAAATATTTACCTTTATGCTTCCTTCTTTTAACAGGTTTAGAGTCTCAGAAGCCTCCTCCCACGACTAAAACATACAAGTATAATACATCAACCAATTAGCAAAACATCGAACAATATACAAACAAATTACCAAAATGAGGGAGTGATAACTACCTGACTACTACTTAAGAAAGCACCATTCACAACATTAGGAAGCTGTCTTAATTGATCAATCATCAAAGCCACTAAGGGGCTTATCACAAGTGTAATCCCGGGAAAAACAATTGCTGGCAGCTGATAACACAGTGATTTACCAGCACCAGTAGGCAAAACCAACATAGTGGATTGCCCTGAAAGCACCATCTTAATAGCTTCCAACTGCCCATCTCGAAACGAATCATAACCATGTGTAAGCTTCAATAAGCTCACCAAATTCTCATCGGTCGCCTCGTTTCTAACATCTAAAACAGCTTTCTTAATCAATTCAGCTTCAGTACTTGACATTTCACTCTCCCCCTTTACCTGCTTCCCATTTTCCAACCCCAAACCTTCTTCATCATTATTTTCAACACCATTTTTCGCCCCGAATCCTCTCTTACTCCTTTTATAATAATTACTTCTTCTTGTTGAGCTAAAATTCCTATTTCTCCCCTTAAATTTGAACTTCTTATTACCATACCCATTAATATTTAACCTCACAAAATTCCCTTCACCACCACTTTTAGGCTTTTTTGCAGGCAATATACTAGAACTAGACTCACTCCTAGACCCACATCCAATCAAATTCGACGGTTTCCTAACTACCCTTTTCTTCAAACTACCTAAACTAATACCATCATCTTCACAATTAACCTCAAAATCGGGTTTCGGACCCACCCCAGATGGCAAAATTGGATCCTTTTCACTACTATCATCAAAATTAAGAGAATTCTTCTGAAATTTTGTGAAAGAATTAGACTTAGAAAAGGAACAAAAACCAGCCCTAATTGAATTGGGCCCAGAAATTTCGGGATTATTGAAAGTGGGTTTTTTAATTGGGAGAGAGAAAGATGGGAGGAGGGTGGAATCGGAAGATTGGCGAACTGAGTGTTGGATTTGAGTAGGTTTTTGCGGGAATTTTGAGGAATTTGAAGAGGGTTTTTGCTGGGTTTTTGGGGGCTTTTGCTTGACATTTGAGATGGGTTTATTGGGAAATTTCTGAGGAGGAGAAGGTGTTAAATTTCTGGGTGGAGTTGCAGAAATGTGAGAGCCATCAGAATCGCTATCTGAATCCATGAAAGTTGAAGACTTGAGTGAGGAAGAAGATGAATAAACTGTTTATTTGCAGATAGTTGGGATTTTTCTATGGAGTTAGCAACGCCATTCTTCTATATTGCATTTTCCCGCCAAAAATGTTTACATCTTTTTTTTTGAGTCGGTAAGGAGAAGTGTTACACTTGTTTTGGGTCCAAATTTTTCACAAGTCAATTTATCTAAGTTAAACCCCGTGAAAGCAGAGAAAAAGGCAAAATCAATGTGGATTATATTGCTAAACACCGTCAACAAAAACGATACCATTGCCAACAATTGGTGTGAAATTGTGAATGGATAATCGTACCCTTACCACTTCACCACCCCTTATCCTCCCGGCGACCCACAACCCCTTCCAATCGGTGATGACCACCACCACCCTTACCGGCGACCCACCACACCCTCCTCTATGACTATCCACCACCTCCCCTTGCCGGCGGGAAGATAGTGGTTTAACATTTTTTTTTATTTCAGACAACCCCGATAACCGGAGCCCAAAATCGGTAACTGGTTACTGTGCACCTTAACCGATTTTATGGTAACCAGAGCCCAAAACTGCTCATCGTGCCCGGTAACTGGTTTTGGGCTCCGGTTGGTACGATTGCCAAAAAAAAAAAAAAAAAAACCTCGTCTTTGAGGGGGAGGTGGTGGGTCGCCGGTCAGGGTGGTGGTGGTGGTGGTGATAGTCGTCAATTGGGGTGGTGGTGTCAAGGTGTTAGTGATTGGTGGCAAGAGGGAATATAGTGGTGAAATACTAAGGGTATGGTTGTCCATTCACACTAAATCTTGGTTTTTTATCATTTTGGATGGCGATATTTAACACCCCCATACTAAGGAACATTTTGTTTCAAGGTGTCATTATCGCGGTGTTGTTACTTGTAATTACACGATGATAATTTTTGTTACACAATACAGTGAAAAGTTAGAAATCAACTTCTTCTTTTTAAGTTAGTTAATGAGTAAAAAGTAAGTTTAAAACTAAATCAACTAAAAGATCATGTCTGTTATGTGTGGAGAAAGCCACAAAAGGCAAATTATGTTATCAAGAATTGATCACACGTCATAATTCCATCCCCAAAACTTTAATTAGGTAATTATCATCAATAGAAAATTCTATATTAGAAAAATATACATATAATGATTAATGACACTAAGTGACAATTGACAAGCCAAGAAAAACCTAAAATTTTTATTCCAGCTCTTTGCTGATGAATCAAATGAAACAAATATGTCAAACATCTTCTAATCAAACCTGAAAAATAATTGAATCTGACTAAAGCAATCATGTGGTAAATGGAGCAAGAACATACATTAATTACCTCTCTCTAATAACATCAGCCTAATTTGACAAGAAACTTTACAAGATTATGCACCCCCCACACAAGCGTGGTACTCTGTTACAAATAATTTGGAAGCGAAAATTTTGCAATTATCTAACAAGCCCCCCCAACAAAAAACAAAACGTAACTAAAAGTTTCCGAAAAATCCTATACGATGAACATCAATCTCACATTATCGTGCAGTTGCACTTGGATTCCAATTTAGGAGGTTTCATGCTATCGGCATTGTTAGGAAGCCCAACATTCCGAACCACAGGTTCATTTGACCTCTCTTCATTTTCGGTGAGAGGAGGTTTTACCTCCGCTTCTGATGCCCGCCCCTTTTTGGCTTTCTGAGTTTTAGGTGTTCTACCACTGGTAAATCCGCGATGATCCTTTTTGTCAGAGCTACGTCTTTCTGGGATAGTGACCATTGGTCTAGAACCTTCCAATAACTCTAGATTCTCTTTTTCTTTCTCAATCGCAATACTTGCAGCTTTATAAGCCAGATCGTGAACGATGGAGCTGCAAAAGAGAATTGTATCTGTCGCTTCTTCTAGTGTCAGACTTCTTGTCCTCCTCCCTCCCTGTTCTTCCACCGTCACAGTTGATTCCTCTGAAAGCACCAGCAAATTATCAGCCCAACTAGTTAGTCATAATATATAACATTTAATATTTTAGGATCCTTTTAAATAAGATAGCTAGCATGGGAAACTTCATGCTACAAACAAAAGAAGGTGGACTATGTAGAACATCCTAAACAAACTATATGCAAGCATAAGCAAGAATTTCTTATAAAAACCATCCAAAAGATATCACAAGTGTCAGATACAATAAACTAACTGTAAATCCGTGATGGCTGGATGTATTATGCAGCTTCTCCATAATCAGGAAGTCCATTTGGGAAGGGAGGCAGTAAAAAGTGGAGAAATCCACCAATTGTAACCACCCCTGCAAGAAACATAATTTCTTGGGTGCTTGGCTGCTCGCCAAGTTACCATATATCACTCCACACCAACACGTAAGCAGAAAACAGTTTTTTCAAATTGTGTGTGTGTTGTAGAGCCAAGGTCATAAACGAAGATAAGACTGCTCTAATTAAAGTCCAATCCGTACTTCTACTCGGTCAAGAGGATCACTAATGGATCAATCATTTTAGGTTGATTTAGCACTTATATTGCTGTTCATTTAGGCATCAAGATTTCTTTATAGAGCCTTTGATAAAAGAGAAAGTGTAATTTCACAAGGAAAAGGTTACTCAACACAACAATAATAAATTACTGTAAAGCACAATTCAGAAACAATTACATTAGACAGAAGCTCTGAATTGTCAAGATAAAAAGATATCATACCTGCAATCCCCTCAGCATGATTTGATTCCTTGGACTTTAGAGACGAAACCTTCGCATCTTCATTGTGATGTGCTGTAGATGAATGATCTTCCAACTCTTCCTTGGAGACCATATCAATTTGCGACTTTGGGGAACTAGGATGAGAATCATTGATTTCTATTTCTGACATTGTAGATGTAACACATTGAACACGATCTTCTGCGGCTTCCACGTTATCTACCTTGTTGTCTTGCACTGTATTTTCATTTTCTATAGAAGATTCAACAAATGTTGTCTCCCCAAAATTTCGGCCACTTCCTATACTTTTCAATGGGTCTTCTTCAAATTCATGGACAATATTCCCTTCATCAATACCTGCAGAAACTCGAGATTTGCCCTCGAACTCAGAGTTTACCGTTTGGTCAGCCTCAAGATCAGTTTCTCCAGAAATTGTACAGATGCCACTGTTGTCTTCACCAGATACCGCTGCCCTACAAACAGATGGAACTGCATCATGCATTTCCATAATATCTAAAGCTAGTACTTGATCAGGAGGTGATCCAGGTGTATCTCCTGCAGCAATATGCCTCATGTTGCTGACAGATCCTTCACAACTTCCATCACGAGAGCTTGTTGAATGTCCTAAACTTTGATAAACTGGAAAGGAAGTCCCTGAAAGTGAAGACCCTGTGCTCTGATGTTTTGAGCTTGCATCAGATCTCTTGCCACTGAACTGTCTCTGGACAATATCTCCATGTCTAACTGCGGTCAGATCAATGGAAGATGTAGCAGATATACTACCATGACCAATAGAGCTCCTCATTGAACTAGTCAAGTCTCTAGCATAAGATAGATCATCATAAGATATAGCACTGCTGTTGAAGTTCCTGCCATGAATCAGAGGCCCTTTATAGCTACTGGATCTATTCATTAGAAGAACTGAAATCCCAGCACCTTCAGCCACATTGATATTCCGGTTAGATTTCTCACAAAAATTTTGCACCTCCTGAAAGCTGTTAGCCGTCTGAGATGAATCATTAACAGTTGTATGCTCTCCCTTTATTTGCCGCTCAGGATGCATCTGCGCACTTTCCTCCCCGGCTGACATTGAAAGAGAACTGTCCAGACAGTTTCCTCTAGGTTGATTGAACTGATCTTGTGAAATATCCCTTGAATCAGCATTACCTAGAGCAAGGGTAGAATGTGTTACATGAGATTTCTCAAAGACATCCATCAAAGGAGCTGTGGCATTCTCTGTGGTCTCTAATCTGAAAACCAAGGAAGGGTTGTTCAACAATTCTTCTTTCTGTCTGCAATCAGGACACATATTATCTTCCTTTTCTGTAAGTTCAACAGGATGATACTGGGTGCCACATCGACAACAGAGCAACACATTTTCAAGGTTATAAATTTTCATGGAATTATATATCTCATCTACTGCAACAGCTTCCACAGCACTACCATGAAGACCCGATTGATTGGAATCTCCAGCATTAGGTGCAAATGAGCTTTTTCCCGGTTCTCCAGGTTCAGCTAATGTGCCATTTCCTTCATGCCCAGTGTCCTCATTTCCAGCATCCATCTTTTCTAAGGCAAATACTTCATCTTGAATATCAGAGAAAGGGGCCCTAGCATATTCACTTGCTCCGTCATCTTCAGTATCATGTGCGCCACTTATTGCTAGGTCAGAACTAGCATTACTACTGGTGGTAACTGAAGAGTTGGACATCATAGTGCGATGGGCAGCATTGGCTTTTTCAGCATAGAAGGTAGTGCTGGGGACGCTGGATAGAAGTGGCCTGAACATATTCTGAGGACTTTTTCGGTCCTAGAAACAATAGACATTACACTATCATGAGATGTTCTATATAGCTATAATATAGAAACTAATAATATTTTATACTAATTAGGTATCTGTATAAGTCATCAGAAAAAATTGGATTCAGAAGACTTCAATGAACCAAACAACGCTTGTTCATAAAATAAAATAAAAATACTCCGCCTGTCTCATAATATATTGCATTCATTCCCTTTGGATTGTCTCAAAATATATATTACACCTCACACTCTATATTTGGTATGGGACCACTATCTCCTATCACATTTAAATTTTATTTTTTTCATCTATATACAAATCTACCCACTATCTCAAATCACATATACTTCTCTCCTCAATACAACTCTATTTACTACCTCCAAGGCTCCAAACACACCTACTTCTCTTTCCTTCACCTCGGGATAATATTACCCACTATCTCTAATCACATCGTTCACTCCCTCAATATAAAATTACCAACAAACTCCAATCACTGATTCTTTTTTTAACTCAATATAAAACCACTCGCTATCATTTATCACTTCTACATGTTCACTTAAATGGCCCACGATAATAAAAACATTATGGATGTAGTAGTAAAACATATGGGCAATAGGGAGAAGGGGCCAACAAACATTTTTCTTTCCCAAATTCAATTAACTTTTGTGAATGGACATCGAGAATAAGGACGTTGGTTGGGTGACTATCTAAAACCTCGAGAATCTTTAGATGATGCAGTAGATATAAGCCTAGTATTCCAGCTTTTTTGAATAACTAATAGAATCAAAAACTTTAATTCTAGGCCACTTCAATAAAAACCAATGCCATCATTACTAAACGTACAATAGCAAAAGCAGCATAAAATAATGTATCAGGGCTCAAGTGATTCACCAAAGCGACAAGACCTTATCAGTGTAATAAGTAAAACAAAAGGATTTAATATAGTATAGTACCATTTGCCGCATTGCTGAATCAAATGATCTCTTTGGAGCAGAACTTGGGGACATTGTCTTTGTGGGTTTCTTAGAGTAAGCCAATGGTCTGCCACTAGAAATGCCACTGATTCCCTTTCTTGACATAGGGCGCTCAGGTACACTCAGAGGAGCTGACTGCAAAGAATCTGTGTCATCATCACCAGAGGATGCCATAGAACCTTTACTGTGTGAGCTCAGTCTGTCTCGTTCTTGACTATGGGAAGAGCCAATGCTTCTGGAAGCAGTTGGAGACCTTGATTGCCTACCTCTGCTTGACTTAGATGCTGGCGAAGATCCCCTAACATATGATGCAGGTCGATCAGCCAAAGAAGTTCGGAGATTAGGAGGAGCCTCCAAGGAAAAACCAGGAATGTTCGACTGCCATGCCCTAATTTTTGGTGATGCAGAATTCCCACGGCTTTTACTTACAGGGGATGAACCCCTTGCCCCTGATGCAGCCACAGATCCAGAAGGTCCAGCAGTTGGCCTCCGTGACGTTGGTGTTAAAGATCTTGGAGGAGGTGTTGAAGGCTTGACTGGAGGAGGTGAGGGTCTTCTTGATGGAGTGTTGGCCCGTACAGGAACAGGACTTGTATGAGGAGCTGAAGACGGCCTTCCCCTAATTGTACTGGTGCTAGACCTAGGAGAAAGGCTCAAACGCTGCGGACTAGGACTACCTCTACTGCTTCTCTGACTTCTATCCATCTGAAAAATATAGTAATATGAGTAGAGAGTAACGAATATCAAGTTATAATATAGAAGCTGCTTTTAAAAATAATCAAACGTCAAAAATTCATTGAATTTTTTTTACTCACAGTAGATGATCTTGAAATGGAGATGGGCCTACTTCGAGCTCTACCACAATGTACAAGGTTATCAGGGGCAGGATCCTCATCCAATGATGGAAATAGAGGAGTGTCTGGAGGAGTTAATAACCTTCCAAATTAAGACATAGGAGATGATTTTAGAACTCTTAATTGCAATCTAATAACAGGTGCAAAATAAAAGAACAAGAAATCGTGAGGCAAATAATCTGCTTTTCATTCAAGAAATTCCAATGATACCAACCAAATAAATGACCAACCATCATAGCATATAAGCACGCCAATATTATCAAGGAGACAGCTAAAAAATAACTAACCATTCATAATCATTCTTATCACCATCCGCATTGAGAAGATCACTGCTCTCTCCTCGAACAGGTATATTGATTCCGAGCTTTAAATCTGGGAAAGACTTCACTTTTGAAGCTGCTAATTTACAACAAATAGACAACAAAATGAAAAACAATGGTAAGGCATTAAATAACAAAGAAACCAGGGTAATCAACTAATATCAATTAAGTAATTCAAGGTAAGAGACTAGAGTCATTGGAATTACATAATAAATCTTCAAAATCATCCGTTGATTGAAGAAGAAAACTCTCGTTTTCTCTGTTCTGCAATTCACTGAATAGAGCAAGATCATCATCTCTTTCTTTAAATGATAGCCCACTCCCAAGACTGCGTCCCCTCTTATGGCTATCACCACGAGGATCCCCAACAGGCGAACGCCTTAATGATGGAGAAGGAGGCATCCCAAGTGCCTTAATCGCCCTTTTAGCTGTACGTCACACAATCCAATCCATACAACCCTAGAGCAACCGCCAACAAAGCAAACTTCAAACTCCACTCCACAGCAACAACTTGCCCCGTATAACAATTAGTCAGTTAGAACTGAGCCAGTCTAGCGTGAGCAATGATACAATTCCATATCAGTTCGGGCCATGCCGGCTACTCAATATGCCAATTTAGATATTCTTCCTAAAATCATCGTAAACATAATCATATTAATACGAGCTTCAAATCCTTGTCCGGTCAAGCAAGATTAATGTCCAATTAATTCAATGTAGGTACACTAAAATCAATCCATAATCATATATCCTCAAATATTCCAAAAAAGTGAAACCCCTTCAAATTGCAAAACCCACAAAAACCCATATCACAAAATCTCAATAAATAACCACCCAAATAACAATTATATATATAGATTTAAGATCGTTGCTCAACACAAACCCTAGTTCATCACAAAAATCAGCATCACTTACTTAACAAAAACAACACAAAATGGCACTAAAATTAAACTATATTTCAACTTAATCATCATCAATTACCCCCCAAAACCCCAATTGACAACAAATTAAACCAACCCAATTCCTAATTCATAATTTGGGTGCTGAACTTACCAGAAATACTTCAAGTCAAAAACTTTTCAGCCCCTTCAGAATTTTGATAAAGTTGCAAACTTATTCAAATCAAGAACACTTGGATCTGCTTCAAACCCAGAAAACACAAAATTTAACTTTAGATCAGACGAAGCTTCAAACACCCCAAAATTCTCACTTTCTCTCTCTACAACCTTGAAGAATTGTGCTCGAATTTTTTAGAGAGAGAAAATTGGGGACAAAATTAACAAAAACCCAATTCTTATTATTTGATTTTTTTTTGGAATTTCTGTTGGTTTCCTCCTTAACACGCCTTCATTCTCTTTCAGGTTTTGTTCTGCTCTACTACTACACAACACAACACTTCTTCTGTAAATTTTGTGCCTTTTTTTAGGGGGGATTTTTTTTTTTTTTTTTTTTTTGGGTTTATCGTTTGTTGTTGTTGTTGTGTGATTATTACAGTTTTGTGCTACTGTGAATCCAGTTCAGCTGTGCCTTTCTATCTTTTTCTTTCTTTTTTTCCACACTTTTTTTGTCTGCTTTATTTTTATTTCATTTTTTTTTTGGTGGGATTCTCTTCTTTGTGTGTATTTCCTCATATACGTAGTATTAAACAAGAAATTGAGATGGGTATTTTTACACAATTTATTGAATATTTGGATGTATTTGTCTATTTGAATGTGATGCTAAACAAAGACAATGCAAAGACAAATGAGTTGTTTGGTTTTAATCTCAAAGAAGAACAAAGAGAATTTTGTTTCTGATTTTCTTGTCATATATCAGTGAGTATGAAGATTGTATAATAGAGGATTGGTGTAGACGGATAGACAGAAACATTAAAGGTAATTTGCCGCTCTTTTACTTGATTAACTAATAAATAATTAATGTTTTGTTACACATGTATATATTTCATTATTTTGTGCCTGTATAAAGAGTTTTAAAAGAAACTTGATGTCTTGAGTTGTGATTATTAGCTCAATCCCGGCTTAGTATGGGGTAATAAAAATCGATTTTTCAAATATTAGATAATTTATATTATGGCGACACAAGCAAATAAAGTATCGACGTATCGTATCATATGCAATACGTGTCATGGAAAGTTGCAATGCTTTAATGAAATCTCACTCTTATAGTTTAGCTTGTTAAGTTGATCAAATATGCTAGACATGGATAATATAACCATAAGAGAATAAAAATTTGAACCCTTAAGGACCTATTCTCTTTAGCTTGAGTTCAGTTCCTAATTTTCTTCTCTCATAAACAATTCAGTTCAATTTAGTAAACCAGAACGGCCCCTAAGGTGTCATAAATGTGTACGTATATTAGTGATAGTATGGAGTTAAATATGAAACACTAGTATGGCTGCTAATCAATATTGATCATAAGAGACTAAAATTGCTCAAAATGAATATATTGTAGTTTATTTAGTAACTCCATTTGATGTACGTGAGAGTGATGGATATAACAAGTGTACGCCAAAATTAATGATTATCACTAAATCATATTTGAAAATATGAGTTAATGGTAAAGATATTATCTTGAAGATCGCATAAAATGCAGAATTAAGAAATTTCATAAAATAGAGAGAATATTAATCTGCATATCAATGGCGGATCTAGGTGATGGGTGTCGTCTGGCTTGGGTAGCACGGGCCCCTTTAAAAATATTTCAATTTTCTTGTTTTGGTAAATTCAGTTATATTGATGATAAAAAAGACTATATTTGTATAATGATTGACTAAGTGCCCCTCAAGACTTGCATTTTAGATTCGCCTCTATTGCGTATATATAATAAAGGGCACTTTAGCAACCACATATGCTAAAGAGTTTCACAAGATGATACCCTTTATGATATAATACTCATATTATTTACCCATCTATTTTATCTTGCTGAGAATCCTATACAATTCATTTTAATTATTTTCTAAATAAAAATTGAAGTTTTAACTTTAAAGCATCAACAAAGCGTAGTACTAAAGAATAAACAGCCACTTGGAACAGTTAGCAAAGCCTAAAAAATAAAAATGCCTTAAGAATCTGGCACAAGAATAGTGTGAGTTGAGCAATTTGTAATGTACTTAAGGGACCACTTTTCTAAAGTGAAAATAAGATTAATACTTAATTACTAAAAGATGATCCATTTGATAATGACACATGCAGGTAGTTGGAACTATTAGTTGACGGCTAATTCATCATAATTCAATAATAATATTATTGTTAATCATTAATTAACCTATAGTTAGCTACATATAATTGCCTTCGCTGACCATATTACTAATAATGCATGCTAATCAGTAGCATATACTAATGTTTGTCAAATTATGCAATAATTAATTGTAGCCACACGTCATTTTCATTTGTTAATTGTTAGTCTGATGTTTTCTCCCTAACTAACTTAATTATTCTCTTTTCCTTGACTTGGAAAGAATTATTGTACTTCCTTTGTCTGCCTTTGAAAATAATATTGACCACGTATACTATTTTAAGATGTTCGAAAAAGTTAATATTGATGTGTGTGATTGTGTACTGTTGAATTATTTTAAATTATGTATCATCATTAATAAGATTTTGTGATGTGGTGAATCTGGCCATTAAGTATAAGAATGGATCAAAGATTAAAGGATTTTTAAGACGTGTTCTCTTCTTCTTAGAAAAACATAAGTTTTGCGTCAAATAAATTTGAATAAGTTTCAATTTCGCAATTTGGTCTAATAAATTAGCAATTACTTTGTATATACTACTTTGTACTTATTTTATACCATAATAGTCATTGTATTAATATTTTTCTATTATGTATATTGTGTATCATTTTTATTAGTGTTAAGTTATTAATTATTAAAAAATGTACAACTAATAATTAACAATAAAATTAGTGATTAGTTGGTATTTGTTGTAAATTATATCAATACTGATTAAGAGATTAGTATTGTTTTTTAATGGTGTTAAGAGAGTCACAAGGACGAGTGATGAGAATCGATCCTAGCTAGGATCACCTGGAATTGAGAGAGGAACTCTAACCACTTGAGCTATTTCTCACTCTTAAAAAAAAGTATTATAATAAACAATAATACGTACAAAGATATTAATCGACATAAATGTTATAGATATTAATGGAGTAGTTTTTGCAATTATTGTAACAATAATAAAAGTTTTAATGGCTAAAAGATTTTTAATAAGTTTTAAACAAGTTCAATAAGTTTAGATAAATTTAATTGAATTGTTTAAAAGTATATTATATGCCATATTTCTTATATACAAACACATATATATATCCCTATTCCTGTAAAAAAAAAAATCCTTATTAAATTATGATCTTATTTGAATATTTTGCTGACTTTTTTTTCAATGTAAAGAGAAGGACACTAACCGTACATACCTCAACCCTTACAGTTTTTTTGCTTCGGTATTTACAGATCAGACATTTTCAAAGTGAGGGGGGAAAGATTAAGGGACCCCTCGCTTTCATAGTGTCATTAGTGGAGATTGAACCTCAGTCTTTACCACTAGACCAAGCTTAACTTGGTATACTTTGCAGACTACAATATATTAAATATGAAGTATAATTTATGTACCTGATTGATACTCCATATACTATACTTCGTATTTCTATGTGATCAACACTGATGTATAGGAAAAGTGTAGTACCACACAAATGTAGACTTTCACTAATCTATTGTAAGAAGTGGAGAAGGGTTAAAGATACCCTAAAGGCTTAATGTTATCCTTCGCTTATATATCATAAAAGCTTCATTTTTTTTACATTAACTTTACCTCATATACTAATAATATATTAGATGATTTATATTAGCCTATATAACAAGTACCCCGTATCAATTAGATTATATACATTAAAATAAAATCACTCTTACAAATTAAAAGTTACCATTAATTAGGTTAAAGTGGCCATAAAAATTGTTGAAATTATCCTCAAATTTACTGTCTTTTAATTAAAAATAAATGAAAGATCGCTATAATAAATGAAAGATCTCTATAATTTAATTTGGAAAATTGGGGACAAAATTAACAAAATAAACTGAATTGAACTGAACATATTACGAGATAAAGAAATTAAGAATTAAACTTAACTAAGGCCCTGTTCTTTTGAGCTTCAGAGCAGAGCAGGGGTCAGCAGAGCAGAGCAGATTAAATTTCAGCAGAGCAGAGCAGATTTTAGGATAGCAGAGCCGAGCCGAGCAGAGCAGATTTCAACATTTTTATTAATACTATTATTATTGTTATTATTATTATTATTATTATTATTATTATTATTATTATTATTATTAAGTGCATATACCATTGATTTAGGTGAGTGAGAACATAAATATATGTGTACCATATTTAACATAAGTTAATAGTAGAAAGAAAAAAGACAATGGTTTACTTATATTTATTTCACAAAAAATTTAAAATAAAATGATTTAATGAGTAATAATGATTTTACTTATAAATTTGTCTTAATTATATATTTTTAACACTAAAAATAATAATAGTGATATACAAAGTACTACTTGAAAACAACCTCTTTTTTTTTAATTCCTAAATTGTATGGAAAGATTTGAAAAATAATTCAACTCAATGAACTAACCATCAATACCCACATAAAATGTTTCTACACATTGTGATTCTAATATCAAATATTTATAAAAGAAATTGTTATTATTATTATTATTGAATATTAATTATTAATATTGTTATTATTAATTATTATTTGAAAATAGAGCAGAGCAGAGCATAGCAGATTTAATTTGAGCAAAGCAGGGCTCAGCAGAGCAGATTTAATTTGAGCAGAGCAACTCTAAGAACGGGGCCTAAACTTATTGGAGCTGAAGTGAGCAGAACTGAAAATAAGTTGAAGAGAACATACCCTAATTATTTGCCACCATAATTATCCAATTTAATAATAATCGCCATATATATATATATATATATATATATATATATATATATATATATTTTGGTGTTTCACCCGGTTCACCCTTTGGGCTAATCCGGATTCGGGGATCAGTTCTGGGTGGTTAGGTTCCAGTCCCCTCCCGATTGTTGTTGCGGGGGATCGAACACGAGTCCTCCCTACCAAGTGTAGTCTCAATCACCACTACACCAACAACCAATTGGTAAATCGCCATATATATATTGTTTGTTGGAAGAGTATCATCTAATCAATCCAAATATTGCAGAAGCATCCATGATTGTATAAAGAGGAAAAAATATATATCTAAATATACTCAATTCCTACAAGTAGCTATAATTAATTGAGTAATTCGTATGATTTCTATATTCAACTAAATACAATAACTCAATAAGTCAATTATTCTATAATTTGAATAAGATTATAAAAGATAATATCCAGAGTTGAAGAATATCAAGCAATAATTGTACGGTCTGATTATCATTATTATTGTAAAGCAAATTATATACTTGTAATTTACGTACATTGTGTAAAGAGAGCACAAAAGTAAATTGAGAATGATGTAAATGATAATTGATCTTATAGTTTGAATATCCTTTCTCAAGGT